CCTTCTTGGTGACTCAACTGCATGAATTTAAGCGTACTACTAAATTGGAAAATAGGTCTCAGACTTTTTCTGCTGAACTAGCTAAATATAACCGTCTGTTAAATTCTAATAGTTTCTTTTCTCGCACTTCTCACCTGTAGAGTTCTCTTCCGTTTTCTTGCTTCACTGACACAATCTTCAAAAATCAAAATACAACACCAATCGCCATTTTGTTTTCCTGAACCTGTTTTTTTTTTATTGTTCTTTCTTCCCACTCTTTCTCTTCCAGTAACCCCTTACATCTCAGTAGCATTATCGCCTTGCTTGGGATGGAATGATTAAAAAAAGAACTCATATTTCCCTTAAAAAAAAAGTGGGTCGATAATTTTCCAAACGCCTAACCTAATTTAAACCTCAACTTTTATTCATTTTTGAAGCTTTATTTTCATCTCTTTTATTAAAAGAACCTCTCAGTTAAACAAAATAAAAAGTAAATGTCATTTAGCTTAGTCTGCAGTGCATACAAACAAAGCCAAAATGGCAGCGCCGATTCGAAATCGCTGTCATGGTCCAGCACAGCCAGGCAATAATGCAGCAGTGAAAGTGTTAATGAAGTATCATTTCCCAGTTTTGACAGATGAGTTTTTATTTATCAAAAAGGATGTTTGTGAATAAATATCTTGAGCAGACATAAAAATGCCCTATTATGACACTACCCAATGGGCATAGGTAATCAAGAAAATGTTAAAACTGACATGATTAATAATGTCATTCACCTAAACGAGATCAAAGGAGCTAAAATAGAAGTAACTATAAATGATGTATATAATGTTTGTTCAAATGTATTATGGTTGTACAACATTCATATATCAACTATGATAAAGTTATTTTATGTAAGCAAAAAAAAACTTACCTTGTAATAAACGTTACCTATTAATACGTACATCATTTTTTGCCGAGAAATTAGTACAAAAATTAAAACTTTTATGATTTAAAACCCTCAATATGTTCACCTTTTATTCTGTTGATCACTGTAGATAATCCACTTTATTCAGTTAATAATCAAATTATTAATCTCCAGAGAATTCTCAATCAAAAAGTTGATTCTTGCAGTGTTCATCTATAACAATCCAATTTCTGTTTGGGAGCGTTAGTGTAACAATAGCAAAAACAGCACATTGTAGCATGATGTTTGTTAGAGTAATATTGTCAAAATGCTAAAACTTGAAGAATAAAGCAATTTTCCATGCAGTTTGTAACTTAATAGTGAAGGGTCCACATTTATGTTTATCCCAATAATGATCATCATCATCATATTTTTTGTTGAGTCAGGACCGAGATTAATCTCACACAAAGCAAGGTGGGTCCAGCCTAATAGAGGATCTCAGATTACCTCTCCATATACACCTGTCAATAATTGTCACAATAATTCCAGGCAAGGTTTTACAAGGCCAAATGCTCTTCCTGGTGCCAAACACACACAGTAGTCTAAGTACACCAAGTATTTTTATCAAGATACCATCTTCTTGGAAGGTTGCCATTCAAAACATGCAACTGCCCCATTGTAGCATTATATGTTAGCCGTTGGCTCCTATAAAAAACTCCTCCGGCATTTGACCAATTTTGTTTTTTGTCCTACATTCCTTAGTTCCACCAAGCCCGACCTTCACAACTAGGACCGCTATGTTATGTATTCAAAGTCAATTCATCCTCATTCATTTTGTATTTAATTGGTAAAGAGGAAGTTCAATTCCAACAGCTTCACTAGAAATGTTACATTGTGGAACAGAATCTCAAAAAGATGCTTCCTAATCACTACAATCTTAGTCACTTCAATTCTAGTCAACTTTTATCTATCCTACATATCCTCATATGCATGGCTTACTTCTCCTTCTACATGCTTACTACTTCATTCATTAATACTCTACATTGAGTAGCTCTTGAGCCTTGTATTGCGTGAATAATAGTATTAAAATAATTAAATCAAGTCAAAATATAAATTAGAATCACTGATACTCCAGTAAGATGAACATGCTTTTTGTTGTATGCTGAATGATTTTATATCAAACAATACACATGGAAAAATAATAGTCATTACTTCTGTCATCTTAGTTTCAATTTTTTTTTTTTTTTTTTTTTTTATTATTACAATTCCTTGGAGCCTACCTTTCCATGGCAACTGCTTAACCGATTAAGCTACAAAGGCCATCCAGGACCAGTTACTCAAATCTAGCCATAATATGTATGCTGTACTGATATTTATTTATTCAATTTAATCCAACACGAAATGACCACCCAAAACATTTCCTAAAATCTAACAAAATGATCAAACATCAGAATTTACTCCCCCCGCACCTATTTAAATCTCTTCAGTGGGGATAAAAACTTTTCAGCAATCCACATATTGCAACTATGTGTAGACCTGTAAGCAATATATGTATTAAAAAAAAAATTAAATACAAAGTAGTGAGTAATTAGCATCAGGCTATTTACAACTGATCCTATACATCAACAATTTTAATTACTTGGTGACCCACAATTTTAAATTAGGCTTACTAAATATCCACATGGATATTTTTTCTTTTTTAAGAAGTCATTTAAAATTGGTTTAAATATTGAAATAAATACTAATTAAATTAAAAATAAGTAATTAATATTTAATAAATATCTAGTTTAATACAACATATTCAAATTGTGTCAAAATTCGTTATCCAATAACACTTAAAAATGAAATAAATAAAAAATAAAATAAAATAAACTTCATGCCGTAAAGTGGGGAAAAGTTATGCACCATGATGTTACAATTATAAAATTATTTTATCTAAGCACCTTGCCATGATGCCAAAGTTAGAAAGCTGTGTAGTGAGTTTGATCCTCACTTGGCACTTCAAACTTGTGATCCTGTACCAAAACAAAGCTATACTTAGTAAATACCCCTAATCTGAGAATAATTTTGTCAAATGTTGCCTTTATTCAATAAATGATGAAAAATGAATTTATAAACAAAGTCCTATACATAAGAATTTTGGGGCGACGTGCAAGAAGGTATCATTTCTGCAATTCATTTTAACATAAAAAAAACAAAAAAAATATATACTAGTTGTGTATTTTGACAGTAATTCATCTCTAAAATGTTTTATTGAAAATGACTGATAAGGTACTTGTTTTTTTTTTTTTTGGTGTGAGGGGGTAACCATATACAAAAAAGCAATTTTTTGTGCATAGAAATTTTATTGTTCTGTGTTTTTGAGTAATCTGTTAGTCATTTTTAAGGATTTTGGTTGTGCCATTGCAAAAGGTAAATTGTTGAGAGGTAGACATTCTTAATTCCTAAATATGGCCAGAATATGATGGCTGTGTTTGTAGCTGATGCTATGGGTAATTTTTTTTAAAAAAAAAGCATTTATTATCACCATTAGAGTCATGCATTTGTTTTCAATGGGTATGTTGCATACTGAAGTTGTTAAGATTTCATGCTAGTTTAAATGTGCCATTCTGGAAAGTATGCTAGAAGATATTTAATAAGATGAGCTTGATTTGGCTATACTAGTGAGACATCTAGCAAAAATTTACCTTCCAACAACACCAGCAGGCTAAACATCACTATTGCAGTGGTTTCCAAATGGTGTAGCAGAAGTGGATAGCAGGTGAGGCAGAATAATTAAAAAAAAAAAAAATCAAAGATTTAGAAACAGACTCAAAAAAAATTCATATGCCAAAAATAAATATGATTACAAAATTTTAATTATTATTATGCATTACTTGTCATACATAATTATTGACCGATTTTTTCCACAAATTGAAGGAAAGCGTTAACAATGATAATGTTCTGATTTTGAGCTCGCGGTTATCTCCCTTTAAACCTCGGTAAATGTAGTTTTTATCACATAAAATTTTGTGAGGTGTGAGCAAATTTCATTCTGAAAATGCAGCCCAGAGACCTAATCAATTGCTCTTCCAGCAACTACAGGAGTAATAAGCAGAGAGGAAAAAAGAGACAGGAGGTAGCAAAATAACACTGCCTCAGAAACCACAGTAACTTTAGGGAGAAAATACCTACATGACTGACTTCACAAGACATGGAGTCTTGCCAACTACTTGTTTTCCTTCCATTGCTTTTATTGGTACGAGGCATCTTACAAAGACCCGGATCTTGACCAGTTGCAAAGAGGCCCGTATCTAGACATGACAAGTTGTCCCACTAACAGAGAAACCCTGGATGTAACTGGTGTTGATAGACATGTCTGCATGCGATCCAGGGTCTCTTTTGCATCTGTATTCATGTGTGTTTATCACATCATGTGTACTCATTGCTGCATCACACAGCCACCAGTATTCAGGGAAAAATGTTAGACATTCTTAGGTAGCTCTTTCTAATTTCTTGGAACTTCAGTTTATAATGCAAGGTTATGCAAATTGTTGCACTGTTCACCTGATACTGACAGAACAAAATATTGCAATGGCAATATGACTGACAAATTCAAAGAGTTCATTGCACTGTAAGATCTCATCTGTGTCCAAACAATACATGTCTCTTAGACACAATATGAAAGAATGAAGGATAAAGTAACAATTGTTGTAGGTTGGCTAAAGCACCAGTTGCATAAAAGAAAGAGTTTGTAAAAAGATTCTGGATAATACAGGACAAATTTGGCTATGTGCGTTTGTGGTTTTATCTTTTCCTAGGTACATAGTACTAGATAAAAAAACATCCTATATCAGACTATTTCTAAATAATACCTATAAATTTGGTTTTACTTGAAACCAGCTTGATCCAATTCTATGAATACAGATTTTGTACCAGTCATCCTAAATAATGAAGACTTGGCAATTCAAAATAAGGAATTCTTAAAATAAAAACAGATCAAGATATGAGATAAAAGAAACTTTGAAGAAAAAAAAAAGTAGGAAAGGAGAAGGAGAAGAAAAAAAGAGAGGAGGATAAATTGTATAACAAATAACATTTCAATCACACGAAACATATGTTACAAATATTTTTATTGATCATGAACAGACAAGTTTTATACCAACAGAACAGCATTGATACAGCCATCATTCTCTGGATTATTTGTTACTTGAGCATATTTACCTAAAATAAAATAAAAATAATCACAAGATTATAAAAATTTAAAACAAAATATTATTCTTCAGCACAATGAATAAAGATTTAAATGTTAATATTTTATCCAAGTGAGCCAAACAGAACCAAATAATCTTGCATTATTTAAATTTAAAAGAAACTAAATACCGTAATGCCTTCAGATATGAGTGTACTGACATGACTTTTTTGAGATATGAGCTTGGACAATTTTTTTTGACTTGAGTTATGAGTGAGTTTCAGTTAAGCATTAAATAGTTGACACAAAGAATGCCAAGCTTCAAGAGTATTTCCACTCTTGGTATACATGTTCACCTTGCTCTGGAAGGATCTAATGTTGTGTTCTGTCTTTTTCGCCATTATTTTGCAAAATTCCTTTAGTGACACCATGGATCCAAAGAAAGTAAGTGTAAAGAGCAGTAGTGAAAAGGCGAAATATATGATTTCATTTGAGATAAAGTGGGAAATTATAAAAAAAACATGAGGAAGACATACGAGTAATGGATATGGTGAGACAGTATGAGTGTTCTACATTGACGATAAATAAAAAATTATAAAATTTTAAAAATTAAAAAAAAAAAAAAAAAAAAAAAAAATTCTATTAGGTTGCTGCAAAAATAATGTCGTTTTTTGACATTCAACTTAACGTCAAAAATCGACATTATTTTTGCACCAACCTAATAGTTACAGTAATATGCTTTAAAAAAATTTTAAATTAAGTGATAAAGTTAATCTTTGGTATCATAGACAAGGCTAGCTGTTGTTGTCCCTCATTCTCTCTCTCCTCTGCCAGTTGGCCTCATATGAACTTCATGGTTTAGTACAATTTATTTCTTTACAATTTGTTTTTCTCTTTTATTTTATTGTTTGAAAACTACTACATTTGTTTAATAACACATTTCTGCTTGCAAAAAAAAACAAATACAAAAATAGGGGCGAATTTTAGGAAAGTAAGAATAGTTTTAAGGGCCTGGAATGGGTTGGAAATATTCCCATTAATTTCAATAGGGAAGATTGATTTGAGATACAAGTGTTTTAAGTTATGAGCTCAGTCTTGGAACAAATTAAACTCTTATCTAAGTATTACTGTATAATTTATTTTCAATTAAAATTATTTTATTGACAACAAAAGAGGAAACTAGACCAAAATGCTTCTTGATGTCCTTACATTTAAGTCATAAATTGTATCAAAAAGAAAAAAAATTAAGATAGTAAAATAATTATTAAGGTTAAAATATAAGCACTTGAAATTGGCTGACATCAAGCAAGAAAGTTCTTTCTCTTGGAATAGATAACAAGATATCTTGCTGATATATCACAATTGTCTTATGCTGTATTGAAAAAATACAATTGTCTTATGCTGTATTGAAAAAATACAATTGTCTTATGCTGTATTGAAAAAATACAATTGTCTTATGCTGTATTGAAAAAATACAATTGTCTTATGCTGTATTGAAAAAATACAATTGTCTTATGCTGTATTGAAAAAATACAATTGTCTTATGCTGTATTGAAAAATACAATTGTCTTATGCTGTATTGAAAAAAAATACAATTGTCTTATGCTGTATTGAAAAATACAATTGTCTTATGCTGTATTGAAAAAATACAATTGTCTTATGCTGTATTGAAAAAATACAATTGTCTTATGCTGTATTGAAAAAATACAATTTTCCAAACTTAGTGAAGAATTTAGGTGACGTTGTTTATACCTACCATGAGTAAATTTGATTTCAACAGCAGCTAGTAAACATTTAAAAACAGCAACATCTATGAAGCAACACTGAGCATATTTTTGATGAAATTCACAATACTTTTGCAACTTGTAAGCCTTCTTATTCCAGTAGTAATTTAGTGATTCAAGACAAATTGTAGGTAGTAATAAAGACAATAAAAACAATGATTGTATGATATTGACATTAAAAAAAAGAAAAAGAGAAAAAAATGACATAAAATTTTCAATAAATCCCAGTTCCAAATGTTTAACAACTGAATGGATTACATAAATACAATACCACTGTAAAAAATACAATTGCTTGAATTCCATCAAAATGGCATTAAAACATAAATAAAATGCAAAATTTTTTAATGTTATACAAAATTTCCTAAAATTTAATTTTCAGTTGTGTTAATAAACCAATTTTTAACAGTAGCATTGTGTTCCGATTTAGGAGAAAATATAAAATAATTTTGACTTACCCCAAATTACTTTTCCACCTTGTGTTACTAAACCAAGCTCACTGACATTTACCTAAAGCAAAAAAAAAAAAAAAAAAAAGAATGAACATGAAAACCTAACTTAAAAATCAAGCATGCAACCTTCATTTCTTTTCATTGTTTTAATACAAGAACAACACTAAGGAAGTCATAATTAACAGTAAGAAGAAAAGAATATTAATAATTTAGCTCCAATGAAAGTCTTTAATGTGCTAAGGAGTCCTTGCCAAGGGAAATAACCTTCATGGTTATTAGTAGCAATTCAATGAACAGTCTTGCATATGTAAGTCCTAATTTTTATCCAAATATTACATCACACAATACCAAACTACAACCTAAACAAATCAGTCATTGAAAACAAATCTATTACCGTCATTCATAAACTATTTATCCTGATCTTTACATATAAAAAATGCTTCCATAACTGACATCATTCAATCTTAACACTTCCACTGCTAACTACGGAGATCTTCGTTTTTCTTATCTTGCTCCAGCTGGCTAAGTACGGAAACCTACCTTTTTTGCATACCGCTGGTATGAGTGTCCCATTGCACCATCTATCGTAAAATCACAAAGGACAAAAGATATGGTAAGTCATTCCCAGGTATATCTATGAAAATGGAATGCTGTAAAACACACTGGTGCCAGTTTTCTGTGTAATAAAATATGTAGGTTGAAACTTGGCATTTTTTTTTAAAAATGGCTGGCCGGATGGGGGCAGCACTGGGCAAATGAGTAGCAGTGAAAGGGTTAATTTTATATATTCTATAAAATGCATTATAAAAAAGGGTTAAAAAAAATGGTTGTGGGAATCTGAAATAATTTTTTTAAAGTTGTTTATAATGTTAGTATAGAAATCATGATAATGTTCTAAACATGTAATTCTTCATATTGAGAATTGTCTATGCAATTCTATGCAGAGGACTCAGTGTTGATAACAAACACAGAAAGGAAACTACAAAAACAAAAGGTGGTGAAGGAAAGTGAAAAGAAAGTACTAAACAGCAATTGTAAAAAGACAATGCATTGTTGTTAACAAAAGGAACAACCCAACATGAAAATTACAAATTGGAGATACTATAATCAAACAATTAAAATATCTGGGAAGTGTTTTAACAGAGAGCAGAAAGTGCAGCACTAATATTTGAAGACGCATTGGGATAGCGAAAGAGGCTTTTCAAAAGCTAAGCTAAGTATTAAGAAAGAGAAAAATTTCATTAGGCACAAAGAAAAGAGTACTGATCTGTTACATTATATCAGTCAGGGAATACTGAACAATCTTCTCACCGATGAAAAAGAGACTTGAAGCAACAAATATGGTTCTACAAAAGGATACTGAGAATACCATGAACCAAACAAGTGAGCAATGATGAAGTTTTAAAGAAAATGGAAATAAAAAGGACACTTATACTTAACATCAGGAAGAGACTATTGAAATTCGGAGAGCACGTAATGAGGAAAGAGGACTTGGAAAATTTGACACTCACAGGCCAGATTGAAGACAAGAGGAACAGAGGAAAACAACGAATAGCCTACCTAATGAGCTTGAGTAAATGGATGACAGAACAAAGGTTTAGAAGAGATAACAAAAAGACAAAGTTTATTAAGAGCTACAAAGGAAGGAAATTGTGGAGAGTCATGATTGCCAACATCCTAAAAGGCACAGCACATAGAAGAAAAACAAGCTCTATCTATATTTCTGAGATGACATATTGTAACTATTTACACTATTTACATTGTTGTCCTCATCTTTATTGCCATATTCATAAAGTTTTGGCCGTTCTATACTCCGGCCTTCTTCAGGAGATATTTGTTGGAATTTCAAAACAAACCCTTTATTTAATCCACAGGGGTAGATTGTTCTAATTCCACATACCATGCCTTTGGATATCTGCTTCAATTGATCCAAAAGTGACTTGATTCAAAGAGTTGTGAGTTCAATCCCTGGCCACAGCAGAGGGAACAAAATATGGAGAGTTGAGTTACAAAAGGGGAATTAACTTAAAATGAGATCAATCCAAAGGCATGCCACATGGAATAAGAACAAACTACCTCCATGGATCAAATAATGGGTTTGGTTCGAAATTCCAATTATATCACCTGAAGAAGGCCGGAGTATACAACAACTGAAACATAAATAGCGTAAAACAAATTCTATACTGAAGATTGACAATTCTATTTGTTGATTTTCTGAAGGTGCCAATCAGTCAATGAAAAAAAAAGTATAAAATAAACAGTCAAAATGCTAGGGAATTAATAGCATCTTCCCAATTAGTAATAAATAATAAATAGATAGAAGTAGAGATTTTATAAAAATTCAGTTAAAATGATAAAAAAAACATCAGCATGCAAGACATACAAAAGCAACTTGGTTACTGAATTATTATACAAGAGATGTCCAAAATGTAAAGTAATGTAAATGTAAACATGGTTATTACTAGAAAAATAAAACATTGTGTACATGTTACCTGCACTTCTATATGTTTCTACACAGTCACCATTGAGATTGGTTCATTTGTTCCATCAGTGCACTAATAACATTCTCAAAGAATGTAACACCATGCAGCTGAAGCTACCTTTACACCTTTACAACAACAGTGTCATCTCTGTAGAACTATTTCCTTGATGAATATCATCCAAGAGATAATAATCTTTAGGGCCCAATATAGATTCCATGACCTGGAAACATCGGCTGTCACCAGCCACTATTCTAGATTGTAAAATAAGTGTTGCCTGTGGATTTCATAGCACATGGTCAGACAAATACTGTGAAACACTGGTTAGACAGAAGGATGCTGTTCATCAAAAGAGGACAGGAGATTTGCCTAAGTGTGTCATCCTGTTGCACAATACACTACAGAACTCTTTCATGATACAGGTACCATGCAACAGTAGCACTTGTCACTTAGAAAAAGGGATATCACCAAGAATCTCAGAAAGAAGCTATGGTTTACAGTCATTTCATATTGAAACACCAGTTTCCATAATATCACTGAAGTTAAGCAATTTTGGGCCTGGTCAGTACCGAGTAATATCAGGGACTGTAAGCTTGGATGTGTGGATGGTGTACTGGATAATGGCTTGGAATTGTTAATTAGAGAACTGAATTCCAATTCCCATTGGGTTCGTTATATTCAGTTGTGCAAAAACATTTAGGAAAAGGTATGAATTCACCCCTTTTCTCACACAGCCACTGGTTAATTAGTAAGAATTGTATCAGCAAACCATTATATATATATATATATATATATATATATATATATATATATATATATATATATATATATATATATATATATATCTTAAATCAAAAAATATATTTTTAAATATAAATAACCTGTAAAGGATTGAAAACCTAATATGACACCAAGATAATTCCCAAAGTAATGATATACCAATCAAGCAGAAATAAACTCTGTATGATGTAAAACAATAAAAAACAAGCACAAAAGAGTTAAGAATTTATTTTAATGCAAAACAAAAAAATTCAGTTCATTTACTTACTTCAATGATTGTTCCTTTTGTGACGACGCCAAGCGATGTGTAAAATGGGGAGCTGGGGTTCTTTTTGACACTAATTATGGGTAAATTGAATGTGGCTCGCAATTCTGGATGAGTGACATGCGCTTTTTTGAAACGGAGAGCCTGAAAGGAAAATGAAAGCAACAATAATTTACAAATTGAATGCATTAATAGCTTTTTTTGGCAAAACTTGACCTTTGAAACAAAATATTAATTTTTCAGACAATGCTTGACAACTCACCATAGGTCGGATAAATCTTTCATACTTAGGAGGTTTCCGGGTAAACCCATCACCAACAAATGTAACTTTGGTAACCATTCGCTTCCAAGCTTTCTCTATTAAGAGGAAAATGAAATAAATAAATATTGGCACAGAAAACAATTTAAAAATGTCAAATTAATAATACTGTAAGGATCAAAGTTTCCACTAGAGCAACAACCTTCAAAACTTTTTTTCTCTTCCAACAAATTATTTTAATAAGTTTTAAATATTTTGCAAATGTGTAAACTGTTTTCTAACCAGATACCTGAAAAAGGCCAGAAAACATAACTGCCAAAATGTTCTGATGATAACATTAAAAATGAAGACATTAATCCAAATGTAAATAATAATAATTCCTCATTTCAGAAATTGTTTCTAACCAATTAAACGTTTTCTGCATTTTACATTTTTATGCTCTAAGAGAGAAAAAATATACATTGTAGTTTATGCTAGAATAAAATATTCACTTTTAAAATTATCTCTAAGTATGACTTATATCTCAGAAAGAAAAGACAGGCTTACTTTGTCTTTTGCCAGATTTGACTACTTTGAACACTTCCGTTTCACTCACACCTTTCACTTTTGGAAGAGGAACATTCCATTTGCCCTGAAAATAAAAAAATAAAAAAAAACTCTTAATACATGCTTAGAATTATTCTACAACCCATGGCTTCAATTTATATTTCTTAGAAGACATTGGTTACTTGTTGCTCTATCAAAATTAATCACTTTAACCAGAAAAGTTATAAACTCATTAGAAAAATTGTTACTACATTAAATTTGACATAAAAATTAGTTTCGACAACAAGGATTCAGTACTCTATATTTCTGTCAATTTATAAACTTTCTCCCATATCAAAAGAATGACGTAATATGTTTATAATGTTATAGAAGTCAATGAGTATAGACTTTATCAACTGATCATTTTGATTTTATTTGATTCAGCAAGATAAACATTTCTCAAAAATCAGAAAAATATCTAAATAGTGTCACTTAAATAATAATTTAATATTATAAATGTTACAAATGATAACTAAATAAATTATCTTATTTTGTCTGAAAACAGTACTCTTTAGTTATTTCTAGTCCTGTTTCCAGCAAGTCTGAGTTTGTATTACCCAACACAAAGATTGAACTCACAATTACTATCCCACCAAATTCACAAACAACACTTTAACCTTCTAGCCTATTGTCCCATGGGACAATCCTGAATCTAGAATTATAATCTAATAGTTTTTATTGTCTGCCTGCTGCTTTCACTGTTTGAATGCCTTCACATGCTGATTGTCTTTCTTACTGCTGCCAAAGCCATGAGTTGTCTCTCCTCTCTGTAGTCATTTTAGTAGAACAAAGACTAGAATAACTGAGCAGTACTAAAAAGAAAAAAACAAATTATCCCAAGACATGGGCAGCAGAACAAGATTAATCTATCCTATGTAGATTAAATAAATGATTAAGTTCAAAATTCCCTGATGATTACCCATACTGACAAACAACTGAAAAAAGCTGAAGGTCACAATGTCCAAAGCGTTGTGATAATAACAACAAAGATGAGGACATTAGTCTGAATGTAAATAATGATAATATAAAAAAAACAAGAAATTATATAAAAATGTAGAAGAGAAGTTTACCTGAAGATACAAATTTCTAGATTTTGGGAAGAAATAATTCTAATTGCCTAACATTGCAATAAGTGTTTTTTTAATGCCATGTCCATTTATGACGCCACAGATCCCATATTTTTTTAAAACTGAATTGTCATGCACTCTTGGGAGGGATAACAGAGTAATTGCCAGTTGTCTTTTCTAAGCTTTCAAAAATGACCTTCAATCTGTTGTGAACTGAGGAAAAAAAATGGCTTGTAAATTTTAACACCCCCACCAAAAAACAAAATTTATATATATATATATATATATATATAATGCCCTTTATCAGCATTGCTGATGCCAACTTCCAGGAAAGTAACTCATTGCACCTTCTCAGTGTCATTTTTTTCCAATGATTTGAGGTGGAACAATTATATTGTATCATTTGCTGGCTTTGTTTCTAGGAAAGTTGGCTGTGTTGTGCCAGACAATTTTTTCTCACTAGAATCCAACTTACACATTTATAAGTCAGCCATTCATCCATGTATTGAATACTGTTGCCACATCTGGTCTGACGCTTCTACTATTTAGAGATTCTTGATAAAATCCAAGCAAGAACCTGCAACATTATCAGTCCTGACTTGACATCTTGTCTTCAGTCACTTTCCCATCACCATAACATAGCTTCTCCATGCCTTTTCTATAAATATTGGTATGGCAATTGTTTTGATGAGCTCACCTCTTCAATACCTTGACTTCATGAATTTAAGCAAAGTACTAGATTGGCAGCAAGGTTTCATAACCGTAAGTTCTATTTTAATGGTTTCTTCTCTCTCTCTCCTTGTCTGTGGAACTCTCTTCCACCTTCTTTTATTGTCCTTCCTTTTCACTAACGTTTTCCTTTTTTCTTCTACACTCAGTATCCCCTTGCATCTTGGTGGCTTTATCACTTTGCTTGGAGAGAAAAGTTTCTAGGGTTGTATCCATTAATCTGTGCAAAGTAAATTTAACAGAAAAGAAACAATAACTTACAGCTTTCTCTTTTCTCTTCTGTTTGATCATGTTGGACAACACTTTAGCTCGACTTTGTCCTTCTCTGTCCAACAAGTAGGCTGGGACGGCTCCCTCAGGCACAACATCATCATTCTTTTGTTTGGTCTTCTTTTGCTCATGCATCTTAATTCTGCAATCAGTTAATATTTACCATAAGCAATTATTTTTAACATTAAGTTCAAGCGAAAACATGTAATAAAATGTCAAAATATAAGAAGGTAAGTAAAATTTTAAAAATAAATTTATCAGTTTAATATCAAAATGTTTTGGCACAAATTTAAAACAATAGATACATTAGGAAACTTTTTATACAAAACACAACAGTAGTAAATAGCACAATAATGAAGTATAAATATTTAATTCACATCATTCATTATTATTATATGCTTTCATTACATTGATCATTAATTTATAAAAATATCAACTATTAAATTAAAAATACAGTTTACTGTTTCATCTACTAGAAAAATTCATTTGAAATTATTTGAAGAATACATATTTTCGTATGATAAAACAACATTACAAGAACTGTTCACTGCAAAGAAAGTGCTTTTGCTGTCTCAAAAAAAAAAAAGTTAAACATTTTCTAGATTATAAATTCATTGAGGTAAATATTATTTCAGAACTGGATTTTGTTTCACTAACAAAAAATAAAAAAAATAAACTGACATTAATTTAAAAACTATTGAATGAATTAAAATTAAATAGAATAATATTGGGGAATATTAAAACAAATTTACTTACGTTTTCTTCATCTGCACTTTTTCAGCATGTCGCTTCTTGTGATAAAGTTTAGCCCTGAATAAAAAAAAAAAAAAAGAAAAAAAAAAAAAATCAATTATATTTTTACAAATAAAAAGCAATGTTAAAACTGGATTTCTAACAGCTTATTTAAATAATAAGCAAGAATACAATTCTCTTCACTATATTTTTTCTAGTTTTCATTATGAATAATCTTACACATTTTATACAAAACCTGATAGTTTACTGCTTCTAAAGAAGACACTAAACCCTACAAAGTCACATGACTCTTTAATAAACTGGGGAGGGATTATATCAAATAAGAGATTGGATATTACAATTTCCCAAAATTACAAATGCATAATCGAAATCAATAAACATTCATTTTTCATGACATGCTTTGCTTGCCATCATAAAATTTTAATAAATGAAGGAGGGCGTCAAAGTGGAGGGGCTAAGCATACCCCCTACTCCACCCACTTATTTGAGAGGCATGAGTATTATAAAAGCTAATATATCATCACAGGATCTGAGGTTCAAAAAAACAGATGAGGTTTAATCATAACAGTTGATATTTCCAATTATCTAGATACTTGTCCTCTACATAGTATAAGCTGAGTTGATGATTATTATTAATGCAAACTTTTAAAAGAAATTGATAAAACATGATGTTAATCAGTTTAGGAACAAGAAATGCAATCTGGAAATAATCAGAACTGGATTGCAATTGTAGTGTTTAAGACTAGTGTCCCTAAGTATTGATGTTATTGTGTTAAGGCATAAAATGTATGAAATCTCTAAATATAATCAAAATATTTCAATATTTATCCATAAATATCATTAAAAAAATTTAAATTAAATATTCAAATTTTTTAAAGTCTTACTTCAATCCACGGAGTTTCTGGGCTTTGTCTGACATGACATGAGGCAAACGGCCTTCCTTCTTTCTCCTGAAAATTAAATAAATTATAATACAATGACATTTTTAGCAATTCAAAAAAATAACTCAATAATTTTCAAAAATTAGCCAATTAGAATATTAAAAAGAAAAAATACTTTGATTCACATTACAATGTGTTTCTTTAACAAAATACTTATTTTTATAGTTAAGAGAAAAAAAAAAAAGCAACATTCAAAAAGTCACAAATTACTGCTATTATTAAACATACGAATTATATATAGCAATCAGGATTTACTTTGTTGGTCCAATTTGATAATATCTTATTGATTAAACCATCTGCACTCCTAAATAAAAATCTGCTTTTACGTTAAATACATATAAACATAAATGTATACATGTATTCCTTACAGAATTAATTCTAGGAAAATAAAAGCTTCCAGAGCAAAAACAATTAGGGAAAAAAAAATACTAACTTCTTTTCTTCATAATCCAAACGACGTCCATGCCGCTTCCTGTGGAGTTCAATGTGTTCGTTCTGTGGCTGAATTAGAATAAATAAAAATATACATTAATTCCTCAACAGAAAATCTTGAATCAACTATTTCAAATTTCATTTCAGGTTCCAAAGCATAACAGTTTGTTTAACATCTGCTAGAGTCAATATTTTGCTTCATCAAAGTTCACCCAATACAAGACTCAAGAGCCACTCATGATAGAGAGCTACTGAATGAGATAAGAGGTGGTGGTTAGGAAGTGAAGATTATAAGGAGAAGAAGAGCTTAAGATTGTAGTGTTCAAAAAAGCATCTGTTCCACAAAGTAGCAGTTCTTGGGGGAAAAAGCTGTACAAGTGGAACTTCCTCCTTAAAATTGGAACACAGAAGAAATGAGGGCGATTCAACTCCATGAACGCATGATATTTTAATTATATCCATTCCTATAAAGATGTCAGTTCTCAACAGACAGATTCCATTGTATTGTTACTGATAAAATATTTTATCATTTGTTGATGACATGTCTTTTACATTTCTTACAAATATTTCATAGTTTCTGAAATGATAGACACATATTGACAGTTTAAGTGTATCATTTATGTTCAATGCATGAATCAAAAGAAGGATTTGCTGAAGTCACGGTATCATCAGATATTGAAGAAACAACCTCAAAACAAAAGGAATATCAAATGGCAAAGATATACATAGGATATTATATCATAGGAAATTCAATATTGCAAAAGAAAAGCAAAAACGGCCAGAAAATAAATATATATGTGTATAAAAAATATTATGAGCTAATTTGTTCAATCCCAATAAAAATAAAAAAATCGTATATTTTGCCCAGAGAATCTGACAGAAACACTGATTAGTTTAGACTAATATTCTTATCCTGGTAGTAATTCACAAAAATATTTTCTTGTATTTTTATATAAATTAATCTAATAAAGGAGTAACAAAAAAAAAAAAAAAAAAAGGAAAGAAAGAAAGAAAATATAGTGTGCACACAGCCGAAAAGAGATTAAACTTTGTTAGGAAATGTGTGTGTAAAAGTTCATTCTCCGAGGTGGGAAGATATTGTCACCAACAGAAACAAGTCAGGTGTTGGTGTTTCTACCTATCGCATCCTTGGTTAAAATGAGGGAAGAGAAAGATACTGTTTGTCCTTTTATAGTACTTGAACAGTGCTATCTAATCCCCACACCTTCACGTAATTTCAAGTCAAACTCATTATTTGATCCACAGAGATCACATTTTTTTACTTTCCATGCTAAGGGAAATAACTTGTATCAGATAATTCTATTTAGCTGATTATATGGCTTAATCCCTTCCACGGAACCAAAATATGACCTTTTCACACTTCTCAAACCAAAAGATTGACACTTCTCAAACCAAAAGACTGAACTCACAGCCTCCAGATAACTATCTGCTTAATCAATGCTTTTATCAACTAGACTAATTTGGTGATCGAAACTTGGAAGCCTTACTGACCAGGAAAAGATGTGCAAGTATTTCTGAGATATGAGAATGCAATAAGACAACTTTCAAATATAGTCCAGAATAGCAGAGGAAGATGAACTACCCTTCTTAGATGTGATAATTACTCACAGATTATGGGTTCAAGATATCCATATATTGCAAGTCAATATTTACTGGAATTTCTAATTCCCACCAGTCAGAGAGCATGAAGAAAGAGTATCTAGTGCCTACAAGACAATGGAGTAACGGATAGTGGTTTGGATTGAGGAATCAGAGAGCCAAGTTCAAATTCCAGTTGAATCCATTACCTTCACTTACATACTAATACCCTTGGAAAAGATATGAATCCTCTTCTCCCCCCAGCTACAGGTAAATAGTAAGACAGACCAAGTTCTATAGCCTTTGATGGCAATTGGTCTACCACAGAAAGAAATGGCAACTTACTGCGGGGAAAAAATCTGCCACTTCAGTCATGTATCGGAAGATACATGATTGCCTAAGTGTGTATCATGCATAGCACATAACTGACTGACAATATCAAGCAAACAACCCATACACTGACAAGAAATGACCAAAGCCCCTCAGAGGAACAATTATACATGCAAGTAATACCAACTTCCACAAAAGGAGTGATATTAAGGACTGAGCACAATAATCAAAAAACTGTCATAGTCTTTAACTTTACATAAGCGGTACACTGGAAAAGATTCAGATGATCATCAGTTCATACAACACCTTGGACATTACTGAAAAATAGTTCCACCCTACAGAGAGATTTCTTCTGAACCAAGCCTCCTTCAAAGAAACAAGGACCAATAATTTTGTACAGTTGTAACAATGAATACTAACATACTAAAAGAAATGTTGATGGGACATTGGAAGGATGTAATCATGATAGAGGAGACAATGAAATCAAGTATAGCTGATCATGTGTGAACAGAAAAGGGAGAGCACCAACCCTTGTGAAATTAAGTCAGGTTAAAGAACAACAGTACAAAATAAGAAAATAAGGCAAGTTAAAGAACCAGTACACGTATTAGGCTGTAATAACCTCTTCAATGACCTAAAATAAACATAACGAATATAAAAAAATATGTTTATTAAATTTTATAAAAGTTTATAGGGGGTCCACTTGGCCATGACAATTGATCATGTGTAACGACGTGATTGAAAATGTAAAACAAAAAATTGAAATTCGTAATTTAGAGTTCTTTTTTTCATTACTTCGATTAAAAATTCTAGATTACGGATTTTTTTTTTTTTTAATTTTAAGAAATCACGTCGTAATAGCATATTTGTTTTGGCTTGCGTTGAGTTCAATTTAATGACAAAGTGTACTCCTTATTAACTTTTATAATTTTTTTTCTTTTGATATTTGTGATCTGGAGTGCTTATTCAAATCAAACATAAATGATTATTTCTCGTCGCAGTGCCTAGAACTCCAACAACTTGAGAAAGTTATAGCAAATTTTAACAGCTGTGTTAGGCGATCTCGTAGTTTTAGGATCCAAAATTATGGTTGCTGATTCGGTCCGAGTCAGATAAAAACATTAACATTATTAAATTATTAATTAAGTTAAGTGTACCTCCACAAAAATAGCGATAGATAAGGTTTTAATTTCATTTTTAAAAATGAAAAAGCTTTCTTGAAGTTGAAACTTTTATTTTAGCTTTAATTTTTTAAAGCTAAAAAAGGATTTATTTCCAATAAGCAAAATACTCTGTTCGTGTATTTCAAACAGAAATTATTGATTGGAATGGATTTTCATTTTTTTTTTTTTTTAAATTTAAAAATTAAAAATACTTTTCATTCTTTTTATTTTCCAAAAGTAACATTTTTTTTACTGCTATTTTTATGTTATTGTTATAAAATTAAAAAAGTACTATTACCTTTCAAACTAAAAAGAAATGTCATCACGACTAAAAAATAAATACACTTATAATAAAAATAGCTGATTTTTATTTCACTAATGAGTTTTTAAATTTTTTTTTTACATTTATTTTTCTTAGATTTGCTATCTTTGCTTTTCAGATAACATTTTGTTGTGACTGACTCACATTTTTGGGACACTAAACTACGAAATCGCCAGAAAATACAATTTTATGAAAAACCTTTTTCAACAAAAACATTATTGAAGATTGTTTCTGGTGAAATGCTAGTTTACTCACGCAGTATATATCAAATTAACTCTAAAATAACTACTATAACCTTAATGTAATTAATTCAAATATTTTTTTTCACCCAAATTACTAAAAAAAAAATTATTTTTAAATTCTCCAATTTTTAACTAAGAAAAAAAGTTTCTTGAACCTTGTTTGATATAACTTGTACTTTTTTTTGTTTTGTAGATAAATGTGCGATTGTTAGAAGGAATAATTAAAAACTATAATGCACACCATAAAAATATATATCTTCTTATTTTAACTTGTTTCGCATGTAATTCGTTGAAACACGAAAGAAACTGATAACAATTATTAAGCCACGTGTGTATCATTTGTATATTGTTCAACCCACATAAATAATCACAAATACTACACAGAGATGAATAATCGTATTTAAAAGGATAAAGAAATCCTTAAAAACTACTTACCATGTTTGTATTTTATTCAAACGATCTGGAACTTCTCTAAATTAAATAATACAAGTCTTGTCTGAAAAGTAAATACGCACCGATCAGTGGTACGTTGAAAAAGGAAGTTACATGCATACGTCAACCAAACGGAAGTTCATCATATTTATCTCCCTTTAATTGTAGTAAAACTTTTTCTGCTCAACTAAAATTCCAGATTGCTTAATAATTATAATTAACTATAATTATGAAAAATAAATGTTTTTTTTTCGAAATCTTTTTAAATTTTATTAAATCACTTGTAATACTTTGCAAAAGTTTAATGTTATAAGGTAATAAAACCATTAGTTTATGATTTCATAATATCAAAATTCAGCAAATTATTAAAATACAGATATAATTTTCAATATAGTAATATAATGTAGCTATTTTCTTTTTAAAAATTATTACTTGTATCATAAAGTAATTTTTCAAGCCGGATTTGAAGGAAAACTTTATAAAATTTGAGTGATTTATTTAATTTAGATTACTGAAAAATAAACCATTACAACACAAATTAGCTAATGCAATATAAATCTATTAAAACAAGGAACTGTTGAAGATTAAAAATTCAAAATGTGCTTGCTCAATTGAATCTTCATTTACAAATATTTTGCTGTCAAATAATTGTCTTTGTATGGGGAAATGTTCACTAGAATAAAGGCATCTCACCCTCAGTCACTTTCTCACCAACGTAATGTGGCTTCCCAATGTCTTTTCTGTAAATATTTTCATGCCACCTGCTTTGACAAGCTTTTTTCCCTGATGCCCTGAATACATAAATTTAAGTGTGCTACTAGATTGGCATCTAGGTCCGACATTTTTACTGTTAAAATAACTAAATGCAACTGCCACTTCTACTTCAAAAGTTTCTTTTCTCACACTTACCATTTGTGAAAATCCCTTCCATTTACTTGCTTCCCTGATAACTGCAATCTTCAAAAATTTAAATGCAACTTCAATTATCATCATCTGTCTTCTTAAATCCCATTCATTTTCAGTCCTTTCTTCAATCCTCTCTATTCTCAGTCCTCTCTTTCACTTTCACTTCTTGTAACCCCTGTGCACCAGTGGTATTCCTGCTTTGCTTGGGGCGAAATGATTAAAAAAAAATTTTCCACAAATCCTTAACAAGAAATTTTCATTGGTCTTTAACCAAACTTGTATAAACGAAAGGTTACTGCCCAATACACCCAATATATATATATATATATATATATATATATATATATATATATATATATATATATCAAATATGTGGTGCAGTTCACTTTATATTACAAATGAATCATTCATACAAAAAAGTAGATTAGTAAAGTTAATGATATAAAATGGTGAAATCCTTTGCAAACAAAATTTTTAAAGGTGAAATAATCTACAAATCACTCGATGAATGTTATGATCCTTGTTTTAGAAATTATAAGCTGTATAAGGTCTTTCTTTAATACACAAGTACTTTCAACTGTACATTCAGTCATCTTCAGGCATCTTCATATTTCGATTTGCATTTAATTTTTTTGTCTCGGATGCTACCTGAATTTTACCAACAACAAAATAATTTCCATGCCTAAGGTATGTTTGTTTGCTATACAGCAACAGACAGTTTAGATGTGTAAGTTCATCAGCTAGTCATGTAAATATCATATTTGATCTCTGGGCATGTTACAATGACCGCAACATTGGAGAATGGACAAAATTAATTTATTGACTCTGGCTGATTTCTGTTATATATACATCTATATATCTGGTTTGGAAAGGGCTCTTTTTTTAATCTATACCCTGGTTGTGAAAGCTTTTATTAGATACAGTTTTATAATGTAACTATATCAATGGATCTTGATATTTGCATCTCTCGACTACCTTTGTAAGGATTGCAATAAAACAGTTTGCGAAAAACCAAGTATCTTTGTTCAGCTAAATAGACCCAGGAGTGTATAAACTCTCCACAAACAAAATCATATGCCAACACACTTATCATGGTTAATTTTGGTGCCTGTTACCATATGTATTCTGATTTCTATGTTGATTTCCTCAATATTGATATTGTTCGTTACAAGTGTGGAGATATCATTGACATAGGCTGAGTGCCTGGTAACATAATTCAACTTGTAGAGGTGGAACTTTCATTGAAAGAAGAAAAATTTGTTTTGGGAATAAATGGTGAGATCATAATGGTGATATTAGCCACTTCCTTATAAGGAAACCTTTGGCATTCATTAACTGAGCAGCTAGTGTTATTTTCAGTTGAAATTTACAAAACCTTTCTATTAAAACAATCTTTCAGGAAATAGGTTTCCCAATTTTGGTAATTGTTATCACTCTTTCCAGTATAGATAGTGGCTTTCTTCCTAAACTTTTGTTTGAATTGTGGAACATCAACATATTGATTATATCATTATTATCTTGTCAAGTTAGATGTGCTATCCATTTTAGTTGTTGTTGTTGTTGAAAGTCCTCAAGTAATATGATTTCTGTTATTTGGTACAGTTCTTCATTAGTGATTCCATAGTGTCAGTCCACAGGGTTCGAAGAAGCATGGTCTTCACTTCATTTGTTGGAAGCCATTTTTAATCATTGATCTAAGAAAGTGGTTCTACACAGTTGACATTTTAGATATTTCTGAATGAGGTTGGTACTGTGCATGACATCCATATAAAAGTCTTGACCTTATGAGGCTGTTTAAGAACATAACTTGAATTCTTAGGTTAATGTTTTGGCTTTGTAGAAATTAACCATGTTGGGCTAAACTAGCCTTAGCACAGCCTATTCTATTTTAATTTTCATATCTCCTATAATAAATTTGTTATAACTGATCCATACAAATATTTCAAGTGTTTAGTGTTTATTAATTCCTGATTATTCTATAATGTTTTCAAGGTATAAAGTCTATATTCTTTGGTGGGTGGAGTGTTTTTGCATGGGTAGTGACTGTTGTTGTAGTGGCTGATATGGAGGCAGACAAGGTAGTATAGGAGGCAGTCTCAGCTGATGGTATGTCATTTGAACTATCCAGCTTTATTCAGAATGAGTAGCTTCTCTTTCTTTTCATGACCAAGACTGACACAGCTACTGCAGCTATTCACCATTGGAACATACAACTGGAGAGTTATAAATAAAGCTTTTTCTAATACAATTACATTCACACATACATACAACGATATTAAAACATGCCCAAACTTTATTTTCTTCCCAATAACAGATAATATTACAAACATGCCAAAAATATTTCACAATACAACACACACCATTTTAATCAAAGTGTCTATTGGTTAGAAATTAACATCACCATGTGAAATATTTGACCAATCAGAGAAAACTAAAACCCTATTAAAAATAATTATTATAAAAAACACAAATTTCAACTTTCAAATAGCAGATTTGTGGTTGTACCCAAGCTGTCAAACCCAAGAGATGTGACTGTTTCAAGCTAATGTTGCTATATAGCTTTTTTTTCCACTGGTGCATGCTAAAAGAAACATATCGTTGACATCAAATGAATCATCTCCAATAACAACAAAGATGGTAAAAGTATATATATATATATATATATATATATATATATAGAGAGAGAGAGAGAGAGAGAGAGAAAGAGAGAGACCCTCTAAATAAGATATTCAACAGGAAATCAGTCAAAATTAGCTACTACTGCACTAATAATATGTACCAAATAACTCCCATAACAATTACATTTTAAGTAAATTCCACAGGAAAAAAAAAAACAAATCTAACATGAAAACCCCTTGTAATTATAGAATTAAAGAAAACTGCCCAGTAGAAGGCAAGTGCAGATCCACTAGGGTAGTATACCAAGCAAACATTACCCCTAAAGAAAATAATATTTACATTGGCATCTCTGCAGGAGGATTTAAAAAGAGAATCAATGCACATAGACACTCATTCAACAATCCAAAATTAAAACACCAAACAGCCCTTTCAAAAAAATTTTGAGAATTGAAGGAAAAGGGTCAGAATCCTCAAATAAATTGGAAAATTCTAGGTTTTGAACATCCCCAATAGTTTTAGGGGTAGGTGCAAGCTATGTTTAGAAGAAAAAATCTGGATAATATAATATAAAGATCAATGCAAACTTTTAAATCAACAGAGAGAATTAATCACGAAATGTAGGCACACAAATAAATTCCAAATAACATAAGAATACAGGCGCATATATGTGGGAGTGTATGCATACATACAGTGGCAGATATGTATGATCAAGTAAATGCATACATATATGTATGTATGAAGATATGTATGCATATAAGTGTGTTGGACAGCATGAATTAACTCATTGGGTGCTCTGGTATTACTCACAATCTATAAATATATAACTCAACTAATTTACATTAACCTTAACAGACTTAAGCTTAAATCCTGCATCACCTGGTAGTACAAAAAAACAATTTACTGTGAATCCCAGAAAAAACACGCTCCAGGACCTTTATATGAAACACCTTATAGTAGGAATTGATGTTACACTACAAACAAACATCGTAGCCATAAATAAACTCCAAACACAGACTGCTTCCCCCAAGATAAGATACTTTACACCCCCACCAATCACTAACACAAAACCACTCACATTAACAATGGCTTTGAAAAATAAATAAGTGCTCTGAGAAAAGTACTAAGAGGCTGACGAAAACCATTGAGGAACTGTTTGAAAAAGTCTATTCTGATGTGGAGGTAATTTTTGTTTTCTTGCTGTAAAATATATATATATATATATATATATATATATATATATATATTGCATTATATATTAAAATATATATATATTTATTGCATTATATATTAAAATATATATATATATTTATTGCATTATATATTAAAATATATATATATATATTTATTGCATTATATATTAAAATATATATATATATATGATCGAAATAAAAGTATAAAATTTAATATTACAAGACATATTAAAAAGTATTAAATAATAAAAAACTCAACAAACAAGGGGGGGGAAGAACTGGTTTCGCTCCCCGCTGTCAGGCTTCCACGGGAGATTGAAAATTAAAACAGAGAAATGTACAGTAAGAAAGGTGGGAAAAGAAAAAAAAAAAATTAAACACACATATATATATATATGTATATATATATATGTTCGTATATGGAAGAAGGAACTAGAGGCAGATGACAGCGAGTCCCAGCAAACACTCACGTTGTTTGCACAAAGAAGGCTTGCGGGACCCGATGTAAAGTGCCTCCAGAACCTTCTGTTATAGTTGTGCCATGGGATGCTGGGGACTGAACCAGGTTTGGAGGCAGATGAAATACAGAGTGTGATCGGGCCAACACAGTGAACCAGTCGATACTAAATTTGGCGGCACAATCTCTGCTATTTAAAAGGTGTTCGCATATGGCGGAACTGTAGGTGTTCGGGACGAGTCCACTCGCAGGCAGGGTGTGGTTCCTAATTTTAGTAGGAACGTGTTGCTTTATTCTAGTGTCTAAGCGCTGAGTCGTTCTCCCTATGTAGTTGGCTCCGCAACTACAAACGTATTTGTATACAATAGAATTAATATGGTGGGGAGGGAGAACGTCTTTACACGCAGATCGGAACATAGGCCGAGTTTGAAAAATAATCCGAACTTCAGCAGAGAAAAAGCAGCAACGAACCTTTGATGAAATTTGTTTGGCCATTTTTTCACACTTTGTACCAATCCATGGTAATCTAAGGTAAACAGGGCATTTTTTGACAGTGTAGAGATCGGCACTTTTGAACTCCTCAACTTTACTCCGGATAACTGAATTAACAGTATCAAGAGGATAACCCAAATTACATAGGTTATCCTTAATAAAGCAAGATGCCAAGTTGAATAGTTTGGTCCAGAAGAAATACGGATTCACTTCTGAACCTAATTCAAATAATATTATTAATCTGTCCACGCATGAACTAACTGAGTTAGAATCGTTTGTTCTTTCTCACGGGTTGGACTTCTCCATTCCTCCCTCTATGCCTGACAAGGAGAAGATTTTTTCCGAGTTCGAGGTTTTCTATGCTCAGTAGGCAAGACTCTCTCCTACCTCTGTCGACGCGGTTACTAATTTGAAAGCCCAGTTGAACAATTTCGCTCACACCTTCTCCTGCTCCTCTGTCGCTACTGCTGAATCCAAATGGAAAGCAGAACATCAGCGTGTTATTAACGCTCTAAGGAATAATTATGACTTGATTATTTCCAGATCTGATAAAGGTGCTGGTGTAGTTATTTTGGATCGAGCAGACTATATAACCAAAATGTCTTCTATTTTAGAAGACACTTCAAAGTTTACTAGACTTGGTTCTGTTGAGACCTGTGATGGAACCTCTTCGTGTGAAGCGAAATTTCAAAAATCACTTTTAAAGTGGGTAAAATCAGGGTTACTCTCAAAGGAAATTGCCAACGAAATCCGTCCTTCCGGTTCGATTCGTCCCCGATTATATGGTCTCCCGAAAATCCACAAGGAGGGTGTACCGTTGCGACCAATCTTGTCCATGATTGGGTCAGCCCAACACAAGATAGCCCAATGGCTCTCCACACTTTTGGATCCTGTGTTGCAGTGCCTGGATGGTTTTTGTATCAAGGATTCCTTTTCCTTTGTTGACCGCATGCGAAAATTATCTTCTTCCGGTAAGTTCATGTGCTCTTTCGATGTTTCTTCCTTGTATACTTGTGTCCCTTTGATGGAAACCATCGATATTTGTTGCGACTATCTCTATCGCAGTTCATTAACTGCACCGACTTTTCCTGAGTCAATTTTTCGGGAATTGATGAAATTTGCAACGTCCTCCGTTGAATTCAGTTTCAACAATACTATGTACCGACAGATCGACGGGGTCGCTATGGGCTCTCCTTTGGGTCCTGCACTTGCTAACATATTTGTTGGCTTCCAGGAAGAAAAGATACGAAGGAATCCACTTTGTCCTCAACTGTACTATCGGTATGTGGACGACACCTTTTGTTTATTTAACGGTGAAGTTGAGGCTGACCAGTTTCTTTCGTTTTTAAATGGCATCCATCCGCACTAAGGTTCACTATTGAAAAGAGTCTAATCATCAATTGGCTTTTTTGGATGTATTAGTACATCGCCGTCAACAGGTTTTCTTACTTCCGTTTATAGAAAACCTACTTTTGCAGGGTTATACACGCGTTGGGACTCTTTTTGTCCCACTAAGCGCAAAATCAACATTATCAAAACCCTTCTCCACAGAGCATTAAAGATTTGCTCTGAGCCTTTCCTGAACGATGAAATTAACTTTATTAAGGATACCCTATGTAATTTGGGTTATCCTCTTGATACTGTTAATTCAGTTATCCGAAGTAAAGTTGAGGAGTTCAGAAAAATGCCCTGTTTACCTTAGATTACCATGGATTGGTACAAAGTGTGAAAAAATGGCCAAACAAATTTCATCAAAGGTTCGTTGCTGCTTTTTCTCTGCTGAAGTTCGGATTATTTTTCAAACTCGGCCTATGTTCCGATCTGCGTGTAAAGACGTTCTCCCTCCCCACCATATTAATTCTATTGTATACAAATACGTTTGTAGTTGCGGAGCCAACTACATAGGGAGAACGATTCAGCGCTTAGACACTAGAATAAAGCAACACGTTCCTACTAAAATTAGGAACCACACCCTGCCTGCGAGTGGACTCGTCCCGAACACCTACAGTTCCGCCATATGCGAACACCTTTTAAATAGCAGAGATTGTGCCGCCAAATTTAGTGTCGACTGGTTCACCGTGTTGGCCCGGTCACACTCTGTATTTCATCTGAAGGTTCTGGAGGCACTTTACATCGGGTCCCGCAAGCCTTCTTTGTGCAAACAACGTGAGTGTTTGCTGGGACTCGCTGTCATCTGCCTCTAGTTCCTTCTTGCATATACGAACATATATATATACATATATATATATATATGTGTGTTTAATTTTTTTTTTTTTTCCCACCTTTCTTACTGTACATTTCTCTGTTTTAATTTTCAATCTCCCGTGGAAGCCTGACGAGCGGGAGCGAAACCGGTTGCTTCCCCCCCCTTGTTGTTGAGTTTTTTTTTTATTATTTAATACTTTTTAATATGTCTTGTAATATTAAATTTTATACTTTTATTTCAATCATTAAATTTTGTACCTACAAAAATATCTTTAAATATATATATATATATATATATATATATATATATATATATATATATATATATATATATATATATATATATATTGCATTCATAAATTAGATTTAAAGATGTTACTGCACCTATTTTTTTTACAATATTAAAAAAGTACGATTAGTCAGGTAAACAAACTGTTATAATTTAAAATATTTTTTTAATATGTTCTCTATAAATGTGTTAATAAATATAGTATTTAACTTATATTAAATCCCTAAACTATTTGTTTTAAAAAAATTAAATATTTAAATCGATAGCAAACATCAAATTAATTTATTTGGGTTTTTTTAGACATCTAAATTACTATCAAGGATTAAAATCTATTCTTTACATAAATTGCTAAAACCCAATTACAGCCTCTTTCTCTTTACTTCCCTCTCCCTCTTCTTTCTTTTTCCTTTTCTTTTCTCCCTGCTCCCCTCCCATTTCAATATATCACTTCCGTTAAGTTAACCGTCTAAATAGGTCATGGCCTGGTCACTCCTCCCCCCCAATACAAAGTATGCTTGAGAGAGATATGAAATTAATCCCCCCTATATTCTACCATGTCTCTTTAACTACTCCTTTTACACTCTCTCTTAAATTACAAAAACTTACACTACCCATCAATTTTAATTTCATTTTTCATTTCATTTCATTTTTGGAAGTGCTATCTGATGATCCGGCGTCCTTTAAAAGAGCTTTGGTGAAATAAATTATTATAATGGTACCTTAAAGTGGTCTCTTTTCCTTTTAAATTTTTTTATATATATATATATATGTTTGTCCTCCGCATGTGGAGATGACCTTGACTTCAAATCATTAGGAAGGTGAAGAGATGGCTAATGAGTCCAATCTTCACCCTGAAATGTCTGTTATAGTTGTGCCATGGGATGCTGGGGACTGAACCAGGTTTGGAGGCAGAGCCCTCTCGATCTTTCCTTTCCTGGCGTCTCCGTTCTTTGTTCCTGATTCTTTTCTTTTCAAAATCAGACACTCCAGACTTTACAAGGGAGCACCAGTTGGCACGGTTTTCAGCAGACTCTTCCCAGGCAGAATGGGGAATGCCATATTGCTTGAGAGACTCCTTCAATGTCTCTTTGTAACACATCTTTGGTCTGCCAAGTGAGCACTCGCCATAGAGCAATCTCTTTGGGAAGCCACAGTTGTCCATGCAGTGGATGGTGAAAGTAAATCTTTACTAACAATAAAAGTTTTTTTTCTCTACCACTGCTTTTTTTCTGTGAAGCAACTTTCCAAAAACTTTAACTCAACTAAAGACTATTTTTACTCCTTTTTGAATTCATGTAAATACAAATGATTTATTTAACAGGCATGTTTTCTTTATTTTATTATTGTTAGGAATTCAGACATTTGGATTTTTAATATAAAACAAACCTGGACAACTGAATTTCCTACACTACCTATTCCTGATACAATGAGTCACATTGGAATACCTGATTGATATATAAAAATACATAATCCATACGTAATCCATAAAATATGGGTGTTTTAGGTGATGTTTGATTAGTTTTAACCAGGAAAAATGTCTTCATTTTTTAATAATTTCTTGATTTCATGTTTAAGTCTTTGTGTCTCTTTTGTGACCTCTGTGCGTGTGTGTGTGTTTGTGCTGATTTTGATGTGGATTTTTGACATACTTGTAAAATTTTTATATGCTAGCTATTTTAATTATCAAAGTTCTAATAATACTACAAAAAAGTTATTTTATAATACAACTTTCTGTAAGGAAACACTGAAAATTTTATTACTTAACTTATTAGTTTGTTAATGATTAACAAACAAACTAAATCATAATGCCTGGGAATTTTTGTAATTTAATCACACCTCAATTCAATGTAATCACATTAGGATTAATTATCAGAAACGCAAATCAAAACCTTTTCCCTTTTTAAATTCGAATCAGTCTGATTATATAGAAGTCAGTGCCTTCTTGTGGCTTTGAGTCACTTAACTTCTGTGTGAAGGATTTTTTTTTAACCTATTTTTCACTTTTATTGCAATATACTACACCGGATTAAATTTTATAATTTTCTTTCTCCATTTTACTAAAGTTTTGTTTTATTCTTTTAATGGCAGTTAGTTTTATTTCCCCATCACAAAAGTTTTTGTTGTACTTCTTGAGCTACAAATGTGCGTATTTATTTTATGTTGTACTAACTAACGTTGGGTAAATGTTCATAGGGAAATATTTTCTTCGCCCACCGTTTCCTGAAACTTATTTCTGCTTCTACTTTTTTTTAAGTACAAGTAATCGAAAGAAAGAAAAAATGACTTTACCGCGGCTGACAATTCGGATCCGAACTGAAATGGATCAAGATATGGACATGGATTGGATGGTTCAACCGGATCAAGTTACTTTTCGGCAATCCCTGGTAAGTTTTTGTTGTTGTTTTTACTCACCTCTTAAAAAACAAAAACTTCCAGAATAAAAGTTTATGATCATGCAACAAGTCCGGCAACTTGGCTACTGTCAACAAACGTTTGTCTTGATCTTTGCTTTTTTTTATCAAGTTTTCTTTAAATTCTTGTTTATTTTCCCTTACTTTTAGAACTGCCATATCATCTTTTTGTGATCGAAGTTATTCTTTGAAGTTCTTTTACTTTCTAAGAAATCCTTTTAAAATTATTGATTGGTTTTAAAAACTAAATTTTTACCAGATTTTGGAATCGCTTTTAAAAAGTCGATATAAACTTCTCATAACGATTTTATTGTGTACTTTCTTTCGACTTAACTTAAATGTTAATGTTTAAGGAAACTACTGTTTTCTTACCAGTGTTCAACAAGAAATACCTCGACAGGTTATCTTGGTACTATTTTTTTTTTATTTCAAGCTGAAACTAAAAGTATGGTGAAAAAAAAACTGAACTGAAATGACATAAAAAAATATTGCTTGCTGTTCTGACTTCTTAGTTAATAATTTTTTAAAATTCTGTTTTCCCTTTCATTCATTTAAAAAACAAAGACATTACTTTATTATTGGAAAGTGCTTGAATGCATTTAAAACAAAAAAATATATTTTGCGTTCATTTATTGACTTGTATTTTTTGTTTAAATCTCTAACAAGAACTTAAAAACCTATGAACCATAATGCTCATTGTTTCTCTACTAATGAAACATTTTTTTTATAGACATTAATTTTGATTATATTATCGAAAAAAATCAAAATATAACACGTGCTTACACTTAAAATTTAATTTCTCCTTTCTTTTTTTAGTAAAATTTAGTTTTTATTTGAAAGATAATTAAAATGCTAATGAGTATGAAAAGAAAAATACATTTCCGTATGTAAATAATATTTTTAAAAAGAAACTTTCTCACGACTCCTCAAATCACTAAACAAAATATTAAATAATAAAGTCTCTTAAAAATCAAAAATTTATTCTAGACATGTCTCAAAGTCAGTTAGTAAATGTAAGTATTAATGTGGATTTTGTAAAAGCAACTGTTTGCTTAAAAACAGCATAAAAATAACGTTTATTTACGTACGGCAGCCTATGTCATAAATCACAACAGTAGTTTTCTATTCTCATCCCTGACTCTTAAAAAAAAATTTAAAGAAATACGGAAGCCCAGCAGTGCAATAATCAAGAAATTGGTGATTGCTTATGTTTTCATTGTATAACCACTAGTTTAAGAATATATTTTTTAAATTCTGTATGTACTGTAACTTAATAAATTTTATTTTTTATACTGGATTAATTTTCATAAATATAAAAAAAGAAATTAATTTAAATCTGGTTAACTGGATACTTCTGAGTTTAATTTATTGCTTTTATTTTTTTATTATTTTGTTACTTTTGATGTCATAATTGAATCCAATGAGGTTTTTATAATTATTCTGGTTTTAAAATTCATTAGGTATTAAAGTGGGGGGGGAGTAATAAAACTCAATAGGAAAGATTGAGGAGATTTAGAACTTTTTCCTATTTGACCTTACGTGCAAAAAAAATAATCTAACAATTGTGAAAATAATAGATAAAATAAAATTCTTTAAAAAATATATCTGATGTGAAAATGAAATCAAACTGTACATTTTTTAATTCTAGGAACACATCTTTATTTAATAAAAAAGATCTTTTTCTTCATCAGCAGGCAGAAAAATTTCAAAATCACACTTAAAAATTTACAAGTAAATTTAAAAAAAAAATATTCCTTGTAGATTTTTTTCCCCATCAAATCTGAAAGGAAATAATGGATTTCGTTAAAATATGAAAACACCAACTCTCAACAAAAATGATTTTTTTCAGTTTTATTGAATTATTTTTATTGGGTTTCAGGATAAATTTTCAAAATTTTCTGACTTTATATTGCAAAATATTTTTTTACTGAAATAATATCTTTCGTTTTTTTTTCTTTATAAAACTATAATAAAAATATTTATCATCCGCTCCCCGCTTTTAAAAGTATTTACAATGTATCTAAATTGGGGCATAACTCCTAATATTAGATAATTCGCTGATTTTGATAAATTTTTAAAACAACAGGTACCTTTTTTTTCTTTTTTTTTTTTGTTTTGTGTAAGCTTTCATTTTGGAAGTTCCTAGTTAAAATACTATTAATATGTCTTAAAATATGTTCTACTAGTGGAACAATGCACATTAAAAAGTTAAATATAAATAAATAATTAATAAATAATTAATAAGACTACCAAAATTTTTAAACTTATCAAACTGCTTTACTTGCAATTTTTGCTAATGCCATTTTGCTATATATTTGAATTTCTCACATAAAGAAACATTTGTGAACAATTGTGACACTATTTAGCTATGGTAATTAGCTAACTAATTAACTATAGAAATTAAAAACAGGAAATACTTAAGGCAAGAAAGAGCTATATCGAAAGATAGACTGAGCGACATTAAAAAGAATTTATTTTATTTACAAAAAAAAAGATACTTTTCGCAAAAGACAGAAAATCCGTAAGAAAAAGCAAGACTGTGATTCTGTCAAAATTAATTAATGTCACGATAAGGGAGTGACATACCAAACAAAACAGAATTCTGAAAGAAAAACAAAGCCAACCAACACATGTGACCATAAAAAAAATTCAGTTTGAGACCACCACGGAGAATAGATATTAATTATCTTTCAGAGATATCATTTAACTTTAATTCCTGGTTCCAGCGAAGAAAGCTATCTGGTATATGCATGAATCTTGGCATGAGAAGGGAAATCGAAAAGGGAATCATTATTATTGCTTATTCAGACTGTTGACATCAGACATAGCGTCTTGAAAATGAGCATCTGGTGATAAGAGAATTTTAAGGGATGAGAAAAATAAAGAATTTAATTATCAGGTAAACACGACCACCCAGTTAAAAGTTGACTAGCAGAGGAACCATGTGTTGGATTTTGACAATGATTAATGAGTCGGTAGAGGTCTGGGCTGAGTGGATTTTGGGTGTCCCCAAAATCAAGATGTGATAAGAATTAATTGGCAATCTGGGATTTGTAAATGTTTTGGCCAAAGGAAAAAGAAAAAAAGGATTTTGTAAACAAAATTTTGGATGATAAATTTTAAGAGGGTAAGCCTGGCCACACCCACACTGCCGAGAGATCATTGGGCAAGTGGTAGCATGGGTGATAGGCAGAGGTGAATGTATGAGAAAGACAGAGAAGTTAACACCCACTGAGAGGATTGGTATGAGATACCAATGTGAAAGAGGAAGAATCTAGGAGGATAACTCTCCTCTGACCTTCCCTCATGGACAAGGGAGGAACCCCCGAAGTGGAAAGTATATTATCTTCCAAAAATGGGAAGTAATTAATTTTCCTGGCCTAAGAACAAAGAGAATTCTTGTTGGGAATTGAGAATTGTCGAGGAACCCAAACCACATCAGGCCCTCACACTGGGTTTTGGTCGGTGTCCATATAAACGAACATCTCGAGGCAGTCAGGTGAGTTGCAGTCAGTTCCAGTCAGTTCGTGTTTGGAGTTAGTTTGAGAAGTTGGAGAGTGTTGCCTCACAGAAGCTGACCGAAAGATTTCCATGTCCTCTCGACTTCCTACCAAAAGCAAGTTTTTATTGACGAACAACTTAAGATACCATAACTTGCTTAAGAAACGTAGAAAGTGTCACGAATCCATAGAAACAGGCTTGGAGAGAAACACACTCCTGTATTCAACAGATAGATAAAGTTAATTGTTATTTCTCAACATATTTGAACCTTGTGAGTTTGTTTTATTATTTTTTTTACTTATGCTTGTGCAGTACCACCTTTACACCGGATTCAGCTTGCACTACGGCCTGACGCCTGATTGATTTCGTCTACCTAAGATCAAAGTCACAACGTGGGTAGGTTAGACTTGAGATCAAAGCAGTTACTTCGGTGACCAAGCGTTGGAGGCGAGCTGAGAACGACAAAGCTGGTATCGAACCGGAAATGACCAGATCGCCCGGGACACAGGCTGGTGGCAGCGACAAGGAGTCAACGCCAAAACGCTGGTGGAAGAAACCTTACAGCTTTGTGCCGCAACTGGGAGTTGACCATGGGCCAACGGCACAGTGTCATATATTGATGTCACGACCAGTGGACGTCATATATTGGCGCAGCGACAACACCAGTGGGTGTCACATATTGGACCGTGACCACCGGTGGTTGTCACACAATGGGATTTTGTCCATACAATAGCAATATCATATAATAACAGGTATCATTGTCAGTTGACAATACAAGCCTTAGTTTGCCTCAAGTAACTTAATCTGAAAATATTTGACCCTCAAACTATGCCTGAAAGTGTGCCAAATTTGGGGCGGGGTGTTAGGTACTAATTCCCAAATTGAAAAGACTTTGTTGCAATCAAAACACGTATAAAGAGTTTAAATGGCAGTATTACATTCATTAAAGAAGTTGAGCATTAATACTGCCAATCACATACATTTCAAAAGGTCTCCTTACAAATTGATTGATTTGTTTTTTACAGCTTATCAACCCTTTGCATGTTATTTAAAACTAAAAAATTTTTTTTGATTGTAAATTTTTTTTTCTTTAAATAATAATGGTATAATAATTGTTGTATAAGAGTAAGTGTCATTGCCAACACTGTGGTTTGAAACTAGATCAATAGTGAATAACATTGGCGATTCCATTATTAAGTTGATCATGTGATTATAAAGGAAGTGAATAAATAGGAAGTAGCGTGTGGCTATACAATCACTGTTCACTCTTTTTGTCTATCCTCTATTGTAGTACATTTGCTCTCTCTACTCTACTTCTATACAGATCACATTCCTCTTCTCTATAATATGGTGAAGGCATTACTACTACTAGTACCAGCGTCTATGAAGTCTTGAATATAACAAGCATTTTTGGAAGTGATAATGAGTTTTTGCTTGACATAGCAAGAGTGACAAACAAAGCCGTCTAACATCACAGAAATAATACAAGTCTTAGTAATTAATCTATATCTGGGAAGAAGAGGTGGATTCATACTTTTTTCAAGCATATCTGCATATAAGTGAATATAATGAACCCAACAGGAATTGAAACTCTGCTCTCCAATTAACAATTCTGAGTTATTATCCATTACATTACCAACATGTCCAAGCTTACAGCACCTGATATTCCTGAGCAATCACCCATCTAGATACTGACCGGGCTTGATGTTGCTTAACTTCAGTGATCATATGGAAAATGGTGTTTCAACATGATGTGGCCTTAAACCCTCTGGCTACAGAAAAATTGTTAGTTGTTCATACCTATGCAACAATTTTATATCATTGCTCTGTTCCATGACCCAAAATTCTTATATATTTTTTTGTTACTATAGGACACATAATGAGGAAAGAGGGCTTGGAAAATCTGATACTCACAGGACAGATTGAAGACAAGATGGACAGAGGAAAACAATACATAAACTACTTAGTTAACTTGAGTAAATGGATGACAGAACAAGGTTTAGGAGAAATAACATAAAGACAAAATTTATTAAGAGTTATGAAAGCCAGGAAAGGGGCACAGCAGATAGGAAGTGGCTCACTTCAAATAATATTAGTTTAAAACTATATTAATTATTGCTGAGGCAGTAAATAAATCTTACCTTATTATTATATCTTTGTTACTCTGGTATGTATAAAAATTGGTTGTAACTCTAATTTCTTTCTCAAAAACATTTCACTTGTCAGCTATGAAAACTGTCACTTAAAAAAAAAACAAAATATGTTCATTTATATCTCATTTTACTTGCATTTATACAAGCTACTACATTATTCTAGATAGACTGACATTTTGAAATTTTTGAAATAAAGTATTGTTACATTCTCATATAGTATGCTCCTTTTTTTTTTCTTTTTTTCTTTAAACCATATTTAAATTAAAAAACACATTGGTTGAAATCTTATATAAACAATTGTGGCACTACCAAGACATTGGAAGATAGAAATTTTAATTCCCATGCCATTATGATGGGTTATCATTGATAATGGAAAGTGTGAAGGGAAATGGGACATAAACTGGAAACCAGATATGTAAATGTAGTGTTGCCTTATTTGGCAAGTTTCCAAGTTCACCTTTAACCTTCTTTTATAACAAGATGTGAGACCTGTTTGTCAAGAGTTTTAGGTAATATTTGAATATGTAAAGCAGTATTTACAGTTTTTCAGTTAGGCTTGGAAGCCATTAATTTTTTGAAACTTCAAATGGACACATCATCTCCCCTTGAATTTGGAACATCACAAATTATGCTAATGTTGGTTCAACAAGTCGAATGCATGTGAAACCTGATTAACAAATGAAAATCAAATAAAACAAAAGTAAAAATATCAGAATTCCTTTCTTCTTTTTCTCCATATCTCATTCTCTGAGGAAAGCTTTAATAAAAGTGAAACATGTTAGATTGATAAATATTTCCTATATATTATGTCAGATTCTGATCCATATTTGATCTCAACTCAGTTTTAGGTAAGCAAAGGCATTTTCTATGGTGTTACTAATTTATACAGAAAAGAATAGCAAAAGTAAAAAAAATTGTGATTAAGGAATTGTTACTTTTTCTCTGCCTACAAACATTAGGCATTTTTTTCTTCTGGTGGCTAATGAAATAACAATACTATATGTGTATGCATGCACTAGAGAAGGATTGTTAATGTGCATTCATAGACCACATAGTAACCCTATCAGCCCCTAAGATTAAATACTTGGAGTCCTGACTGAATTGTTGAAAAATTTGAATAGGTGATGTTAGTGCAAATAATGTTGAAAAAAACTTGATGGTTTTGTAAATCTACAACTTTATAAAAGTTGTACATTTCAAGCACCTTTTAGTTGATCATGTTATGTATGTTAACATTGTATATTGAAATACAGTGCTACCCAATTGTGAACACATTCATACACTCACTAGATCAGTGGTTCCCAAACAGTGTGGCATACCTCATAAGTGCAGCTGAAGATTATAGCAAAGTGAGGTGGAATGATTGGAAGACAAAGATTTAGAAACAATTTCAAAAATTTATATGCCAAAAATAAATATGATTTCAAAATTTAAAAATATTATTATGGATAACTCACTTATAATTGCATGCATGAGTCCCAGTATAAATAATTATCAATAATTATTGACTGATTTTATCATTGTGATATTTTTGCATTATATCAAGTATTAAGAATATAGTAACTCGGCTCCGCAAATTGGACAAGAGAGTTATCAATGATAAACTTCAGATTCGAATTTAGAACATTATCTCCCTTTAACCCTCTCTCTGGAACTTCTTTCGTTGTAGGGCTGGTTGTGCCTTTTCACTGTAACTTACCTTTGGTGAGGCACAAGCAAATTTTCATTCCGAAAATGCAGCACAGAAAAAAAGTTCAGGAACCACTGCTCTAGACTGTAAGCATGTGAAACTTGCAGGTACATTTTAGTGTTCCCAGCCTTAAAGGGTTAATAGAAACATTGTGCATAAACCATGTCTAGTTCTATAAGTTCTAACTAAACCTGGTGGTACTGGAATGATAACTATATGAAATCAGGTGAGGAAACAGTTGCCAATTAGCCAGATCAATAAATTTACATTAAATAGTATTCATCTCCTTTCTTTGTATTTTACTGTTTCCATTTCACAAAAAACTCACAATTCCACTAAACAAAATAGATTAATGAAATATGACTAAATATTTACATGGAAACCAAGACAATGACAGAAACTAGTAGGGAAATCATAAGTAATTGGTGAGAATGATATCATAATTTATTAAATGATAAATTGAAAGAGGATTGTTGAATTGTCAAAAATGAATGATTTTGATATCATTTGTTCGCATGAAGCACAAGCTCCCATTCAAGGTATTGATAAATTTATTTAAATAATGCATAGTATCATTACAGCACATGCACTTTGGTGTAACTGCCTGCCCAGCTGTACAGAACTTTTTGCCGACCCAGAGGGTCTTCTGCAACACCAGTCCATTGAGTGACACCTTGTCATTATTGAGACACTGCCACTGAAGGAGAGGTTTTCTCGTGTGATGGGGAAGATGGTGCAGAGGCCAAGGGGTGTGGCAACCTCATTGATCCAGATTGGTTTACATTTTTGGCAGATGGGGGCACCTTTTTAAGTGAGGTCAACTTCATAAGGGTTAGGGTCAATGACCTAGTCATTAGAGGAGAGGCTGACCTTTCCTTTGGGGAAAATAGTATGGAGACTGAAGGATGCAGAACCCCTACTGGTCTAGATAGCTTTTTAGCCTTTAACTTCATCTCTAATTCCTTAATCGGGGTCAAATTTCTTGCTAAGTTCATGAAGTCTACTGATATAGCTAGCCGGATCCTCACTCTTGGGAATGGGACTCTTAATTTCCTTGCCCTTGAGGGCTTCAGGGAACTGAAATCTTGCAGTTTAGGGCTTCCCTCTCACTCTACTCATGACCAGCCATTCCTGTGGCAGGTAATATGGGCTCTGAAAGAGACCCATCTGGTGCCTTTTGACCACCAGTGCCAGCCACAGGCAGGCCCATTACAGGCACCACAGAACAAGTAGATTCAGCTCAAGAGGGGTTGGTATCAGACTTAGGCAGGACTCTCTTCTCTGGGCAGGAATAGGTGAGGTGATCAATCACACCACACTTCCAACAAGCTGGTTCCTTCCTCGTCACGATGACAGGGTAATTTTTCCCCACCTATCTCCAAGCTGTTGAGAATGGAATTGGTCCAACATCAGTTCAAACCCCCACTCGCCCATCTCATATTCTGGAGTAACACTCACTAATTGGCCATACTGCAGAAGATATGCTCCTAAGTGCTCTCTGAGAATATAGTCAGGAATCTCATACCACCACTTTGGTCTTACACCGTTCTTGGTATTCTGTGCGAATGATATAGTCCTTTGTGATTAAATCATGGGACATCGCATCCACACAGTCCTCTGGCATGGGCAAGAGTATGTCCCACATGAAAAAACCTAACCTTATAATGATTTGTTGAGGTTAAACCTCAAAGGTAATCAGTGCTTTCATCATTGTGCCTTTTGTGCACTGACAAATTTTGCACATTAGCTTATTGAGCACAAAAACTGACACTGTTTTTTTTGGCAATGTGTTCTTGTGTATTGAGGTGTACCAAAAGCCATCAGTAACCAGATGAGTGTATTATTTGGCTCTCTCAATAAACTCTGCCATATTAACTATTCATTTCAGGGGAGAACTCCAAACAGAGAGTGATTGTCCTGCCGCTACACTGTTGTCTTGTCAGTCACCATACTGGTGCTTGTGTCCTTCTCTCTCTCTCTCTATCTATCTATATATATATATATATATATATATATATATATATATATATATATATAACCCCTGATATAAGAGAGATTTTCTCTGGTCCCAAATTAGAGCCTGTGTTAATGTATATAAATTAGACCAAACCCGGATGTAAGAGACTTCTTCTCCAGTCCCGACAAACTCTCTTATATCCGGGTTACACTGTATAACGCATATACACATCAAGTGCTCCAGAACAGCTGCAATCTTCAGCTGAGCATCGTGCAAAGTTTTGGCCCTTTAAGCTCAGTATCTCTCGACAAGGTGGGCCTGCAACAGCTAGATGATGTTACTTTGAAACCAGTCTATGTTAGTTGGATGCGACTCAATAAGAATTTCTAAGTAATCCATACACTGCCTTCCACTACAATTCTTTATCACCTTATTCGGCTTTTGGATACCAGCACACTTGAGGGATCTCTTTAAGGAAGCAGCAGGAAATCCTCTACAGCCAACATCAAATGGCACCAGGGTGCAGCTGTATCCTTTCTCACAGACTTCAGCCACCAGTTCCTCATAGTGAAGCAACTTTCTTTCATGAGCCTCTTCAATCCTTTCTTCCCATGCCACTGTCAGTTCGCCAAGCAACAGATGTTGCTTCTCTCTCTCTCTCTCTCTCTCTCTCTCTCTATATATATATATATATATATATATATATATGAAATTTCAGATATAATGAAAATTTTATTTGTAAAAGGAAAACTTATCTTAGCTGACATATTTCATCCTTTGATGTACTTTATCATTTTAAAATTCTTACATTTGCATTGATAAAGTCCATCAGAGGATGAAACATGTTTACCTTTTGTCTTGTGTGTATATATATATATATATCCTTATTTTTTTTTTTCTTTTTTTTTTTTTTTTTTCAGGAAGTCATCAGTGAAGTTTTGCATCACAAATTTCCACTGACAGCTTTTGACTGTATGTATTCTTTTTCATAAACGACTATGAACTTTCTGTATTGTACTGAAAAAATATCTTACCCTGCTGGAACGATAAGCACATGTATACATTTCTATTCATATACCGATTATTAAATTAATTTTTTTTTTTTTTAATCCAACATTATTTTTATTGAGTACATCATGTGTTTGCCTGTCTTTTCAATTTTTGAAACCATGAAATTAATGTCAACCAGCCTAGATCAAAAAGTCTCACTAAAGAAAAATATGCTTCCTGAAACCTGAGGCTCATTTTTCTTTAGTAAGGCATCTTGATCTAGACGAGTTGACATTAATTTTATTGTTCAGGAAATTAAAAAGATAGGACTGTCAACTTGAATACATGTGCCCACAGCAAATAATGTTTATAGTAATAAGAGATACTGATTATTACATTAAGAAAATAACAATTTTATCATGTAGGTATGAGCCTTTTGTTTTTGCATTTCTGTTTATACTGTTTTAAACCTATTATTCTAAAAACTTTTTCTATGAATTAAAATGCACAGAGATATTTGATTGAGAGAGATCATCCAAATAATTTGAAATCTTACTTATTATAAAATGCAGATTGTGTGTGTGTGTGTCTGTATGTTTATATATTGGATCGGATTTCCTACATTTTTCAACCGATTTCAACAAAACTTCACAGGACTACGTAAAATTACCTTGCGGTGGTTCTGACAGTGACAAAAATTGGAAAACAATTGTTTTTGCAAGAAATCGATTTGAAAACACAATTAAGAGGCATTAATGAAAGGGGGACAACTCATATCGAGTTATACTTATTAATATCGAGTTATCGAGTTATACTTATTATAAAACCCAGGTTAGTTGTTTGTGTGTGTGTTCGTTTATATATGGGATCGGATTTCCTACATTTTTCAACAGATTTCAACAAAACTTCACTTTTTTTTGGCAGGTACTGTTTCTTATTGTCTTGCACACTTTTTTCTTTATTTTTACATTCAGAATGCTTTAAAAATTCCATTTACAAGACAATTGTTTATAATAAAATTCTATTCAATCGGTAGACTCATAATGATTGAAAACAATGTTTTTGTTTGAGTTTGGGTTTGACCAATTCATAAAAAAAAAAAAAAAAAAAAAAGCAAAAAAACTAATTAAGACATGCGTGTCCGTCAACCTTAAACAATAATCTTTGTCAATTTTATTTTTCAGTCTTTATGATAGTCGATACTTGATCTATCTCTTACTGTTACATCCCCGGGCAATGCCGGGCTCTATTTCTAGTCATTTATAAATAAGATAAATAAAATGCAGTTCAACTTTCAAAGCACATTTAAATAATAAAAGATACTTTCCAAAAGCTAGAAAGAAAGTATTAAAGAAACCATAAAATTTCCCTGAACTGCTATGTAATATCAATCCTCTTCTATTTCAGTGGCATGCAGAGGTTTGGTGATGCCTGGGGGCCAACTCCTTGATTGTATGCCCCTAAGACTCAAATAGACGGGGGTGGGTAAACTATAGGGCCTAGTATGGAGAAATGTAAGAAAGGAAGACATTTTAAATATGTAAAAACAGATGAAACATGAAATAAACACTTTATTTCGGATTCCAAAAACTAAATTTTTATTTAACTCTTTGATTCAATGCTATCTCGATATGGATCTCCGTTGATCTTGACGACCCCCCACCCATCACCATCCAGTACTGCCTCTATGGCAGTGAATGCTGGACAATTTCCTCATGGATTAAAAAGAGGTTTGAAGCAACAGAGATGTGGTTCTACAAAAGGATGCTGAGAATAATGGGAATAGAATGTGTGAACAACGAGGAGATTCTAAGGAAAATGAGAGCAAAAACACCACTTAAAATCAGAAACATTTTAAATTTCTGGGATATGTAATAAGAAAAGAGGGCTTGGTGAATTTAACACTTACAGCACATGGAGTGATAATAAAGGGACAAACAGTGCTTAATTCTACAAAAGATAGGAAGTTGTGGAAAGCCATGACCATCCACATCCTGAAGAGAAATTGGACATGGCATATAAAAGAAGAAAAAACCTGCATTTTTATCAACCTCATTTCATAGCAGCTTTTTGATAATTAACATTCTGTTAATCTTCTGTGCCTTATAATTTGCAGACCCTATAAATATCTGGCAGTTGTCAAGTATTTGAATATTATTATCATGTCTTTAGTTTACCAGGATTCATTACAATCTAAACAACATAAGATAGGCAAATGACACAATGTTGATAGACACAGAAAGGAAACTACAAAAACCCCCACAGAAGGTAGTGAGATAAAGCAAGAAGAAAGGAATAAATATTAATTGCAAGAAGATAGAATGAATGCTTGTTAGCAAAAGGAACAGCCAAATATGCAAATTAAAAATTGGAGATATCAAAATCAAACAAGAGCAACAATTCAAATATCTGGGAAGTGTTTTAACAAAGGACGGAAAGTGCAACGCTAAAATCCAAAGGCACACAGAGATAGCAAAAAATGCCTTCCAAAAGCTAAACAAAGTATTAAGACACAGGAAAATTTTGTTAGCAACAAAGAAAAGAGTATTGAACTGTTATATAATATTAGTCCTCCTGTATAGTTGTGAAGATGAAGAAAAAACTTGAAGCAACAAAAAGGTGGTTCTACAAAAGGATGCTGAGAATACCATGGACCGAATATTGTGAGCAACAACAAAATTGTAGAGAAAATGAAAACAAAAAGGACACTTATTTAACATAAGAAAAAGAGAGTTGAAATTTCTAGGGCATATAATGAGGAAAGAATGCTAGGAAAATTTGATACTCATAGGGCATATTGATGGTAAGAGGAATGCAATGCATAACCAACCTAGCTAGCTTGAGTAAATGAATGGCTGGACAGGTTTAATGAGAGATAACAAAAAGACAAAAATTATTAAGAGCTTCAAAGCACAGGAAATTATGGAGGGCCATGTTCGCCAACCTTATGAAGGAGAAAACAATGCATAACCTACTTAGTAAGCAGGAATGAATGGATGGCAGAACAGGGTTTAGTAGAGATAACAAAGAGACAAAATTTATTAAAAGCTACAAAGCTCAGGAAGTTGTGGAGAGCCATGATCGCCAACGTCCTGAAGGGACACAGCACATAAAAGAAGAGAATGGCAAGCCACTTTTTAGAGAGATACTTCTGACAAACATGCTCCTTCCTGTTTATCTAGTTCCATTTTGCTTTCTCTCTTTTTAGATGTTGATGAAGATGGAGAGCGGATAACAGTTCGAAGTGATGATGAATTACAGACAATGTTAACAAGTGTATGTTTTCCTTTCTTTTCTTTTTTTCTCATTTTTCTTTTTCACTATTATCCAATTGAGAATATTTTTGTTTTTTAAAAAGAAAATTATTTTTCTTACAAACACACACACACACACACACACACACACATTTAGGGGATTTGTACAGATAGACTAATCTGTTCATCTTACAAGACATTTTCTATGTCTCACCAAACCTTTCACACACTGCCAGGAAATAGATAAAAATTAATTTTCTCTTAATTTTTTTTTTTTTTTTTTTAATGGATATTATCTTACATTCACTGAACCAGGGGTGAAATAGCCTGTCATGTCTACTAGCCCAAAACATGTTATATATGAAAAAATGTCTCTCCAGCTTTCAACTGGTTAGGTACTCGACTGTGCAGCAATCCTACAACCATACATGGTCAAGGGGCTAATAAAGGGGCTTACAATTCCCTGAACATTTTGGTAGTGCTTTTATAAACAATGAAATTTAGTTTTTCCCTTCAATGAGATTTACCATAATTTTTTATAGATGTATTTCTGTATGCAACGGAACTTAATAATAAATAAAATTAAATGTCAACTCAAGAGTATCACAGAGATTGCATCCACTCATCAGTGAAGTTGATTGCATAATTGAATTTATTTTTTGAAATCATTTTTTTTTCTTAAAAATCTTTAATGAATTTTCTTTAAATGACATTGTTTTTATTCTCTCATGATACTAGAATTTACAAACATTATAGAAATTAATAGAGATTAATTTAAACTTTGTACATATTTAGAGACTGTCTTATAGCTGCAGTAGTTGAGATTTCTTGCCATGTCAGTTAAAAGTCAAAATTTCAAATTCTGATTTTCAAAGTAAACTGGTTCTCCTCATTTGGAATATTGATGCAACACAATATTCTTTTTCCCCCATTTCCTTTTATTTGTTTTTATGCCCATACTATGATAAACTTAGTAAATATCTACAGTCCCAGTCAAAATAAGGTGGCAATGTATTCAAATGTCATACTTTTTATCATAATTACCACAGTACCTTAAAATTTATAGAAACCTTTTGATATATACACTCTATATACAGAAAAGCTTTTATTAGAAATGATTATGAAAAAAAAGTTACTCAAACCAAAAAAACATTTATTTGAAAAAAGAATAAGAAGATAAGAATTTAAAAGTTATTTTTCTCATTCATGCTTTCCCATAGACTTATTGCCATATTGAGACTAAAGGGTTCAGTTGAGTGTGAGATGAGATGCATTCATGCTTTATCTTAGATTGGTTATTGTACTGAGATTAAAGGGCTCAGTTTATTGTAAGAAGAGATGCATCTCTTATTCCACTCAACTGAGCGCTTTAGTCTTGTTAGTCTTGCTATAACAGCCTAAGGTAAAGATTGTACTCATTACAGTATAAAAAGTTATTCTCAGTTCATTAAGAATATCTAATTTTTGCCTTCAAACTCATGAAAAAAATCCATTGATAAACTTTGCACCTTTTTCATGACCATTGAATATTTTACATCCAATAATATATCTAATGTATAGGATTTTATTCAAACCCTGGAAAATATAAATATTAGCTATTCCTTTATATATTAATATCTTTTCCAGTATTTTAACAGCCTGAAAGAAGATGACTTAGTTAGAGGATTACTGCCTCCTCTTATTGTGTATCCCAAAGGTAATGTGAACTTGTATTTTATTTATTATAAACCTTTAAGTGTTAAAGTAATAATCAGTCCACTTTTATATAAAATTGTATTGGGTTGCTGCCCAAAGCGTTCATGCACTTTTTACTGTTTGAGGCCAATATAGGAATTTAATTTTAACAAACTCTGTGATTCTCAATGGTAATGGTATTGGAAAACTTTACCATTTCCCTACAGATAATATTTGGCACACATTAACTGAACAGTTAGTGTTACTATGGGTATAAATTTATATAATCTATGGCATTGTTTAACCTCCCTGCCCACAAAAAAAAATGTGTTGGAAGGACAGTTATTGCCTTGACACTGCTATTACTGTATACGCTTTTGATTCACTCTGTAATGTTTATTTACAAGATTATAAAAATATGTGAACCAAGTACAGTGCAATATTTATTTACCTTTTATAAGGATTTATTATTTACCATTTTATAAAGAAACAAATTTGAAAGACAATATTTTTATTCCAAAATTTATAAAAAATTTATAAAAATATGTAAACCAACTATAATGCACTATTTATTATTTACCATTTTATAAATAACAATGACAACAAGCCTTTTATTCAATCTAATAAATAAAGTTTTATATCTTTGTTATCAATTCTTCAGAATAAAGAAAATGTTTGAATAAATATTTCCATGTTTGGATTTTATTAAAATTCTAATCATCACTTTTTAAAACAATAAACATTGCTGAAGAAGTCAAAAGTATATACAACAATAATACTGTTAACCATCCTTTTGACACGCTGTTTTTTTAAGTGTTAAATGTTAAACATTGCCAAATCTTTTTTTATTAAAATAGTTCTTCAGGAAACTCCTAAAGTTCATTAGATGTTATAGCTCTTTCTAATATTGATGTGAGTTTTCTTCCAATCTTTTTTGTTTTGGTGTTGCTATGAACTCTCAAGTGTTCAGATATGTTGGAGGAGACTATAATTTTAATAGGGCAATAAGATGATTTAATCCTTTGAACTTTGATTGGGACAAATCTTAACATTTTATATAAGTATTTGTTTAGTATTTATATTAGTCGGACCATCGTCCCCTGTCCCCATCTTTGTCGCCACATTTGTCACGTTTCGGCCGTTGTACGCTCTGGCCTTCTTCAGGTGGTTGGAACTTCGAACTGAACCCTTTATTTCGGTCACTGGGGTAGACTGTTCTAGTTCCACGTGCCATGTTTGATGGATGGAATTTCGAACTGAACCCTTTATTTCGATCACTGGGGTAGACTGTTCTAGTTCCACGTGCCATGTTTGATGGATGTCAGTTATCAGTTATCTCCTGCTAATTTTCCCTCTGAAAGTTCTCCACTGCCTTAACCAGGAATTGAACTCACCTTCTTTGGGTCTGTCACTGGATCTAACCAACGCCTTTATCCACTGTGCCATGGCACGTGGAACTAGAACAGTCTACCCCAGTGATCGAAATAAAGGGTTCAGTTCGAAGTTCCAACCATCAGAAGTAATACTGCTCCCAATTAGATCATTTGAAGACAACAATTGACAAAAAGCACCTAGAATTATTTAAGAAAGGAGTATGATAATTCATGAGAATAACATTAGAGCACTTCTTTTTTTTTTTTTTTTATGAGAAGGCAAAAAATTGCTATGACTTGGAAGATTTGAGTCATCATTATTCTTCTTCTTTGTGTCATGTCCCTTCAGGATGTAGGCGATCATGGCTCTCCACAACTTTCTGTCCCTTGTAGATCTTAATAAACTTTGTCTTTCTGTTATTTCTTCTAAGCCCTGTTCCGCCATCCGTTTACTCAAGTTCGTTAAATATGTTATGCGTTGTTTTCCTCTGTCCATCTTGCCTTCTATCTGTCCAATGCGTATCAGATTTTCCAAGCCCTCCTTCCTCATTATATGCCCTAGAAACTTCAACTGTCTCTTCCTGATGTTGTTTCTTTTTTTTTTCTTCCATTTTCACTTAAACTTTGTTGTTACTCACATGTTCGGGCTACATGTTCATCCTTCTGTAGAACCACATTTCTGTTGCTTCAAGTCTCCTTTTCATCTTTGAGATCATTCAGCACTCCCTGCAATACAGGAGGACAGATATAACATAGCCATTTAGTAATACTGAAAAAGAAATTTATCAATTTCACTAATGAATGCTTTTGATACAGGATTTGATATTATACAGAAATAAATTATTCTCTTACTCCAGAAACAAATTATTAGATGAATTATTAATAACAGGTTAACTGGTTTGCATCTCTTTGCTTGGCTAAACTGGCATATTGCAAAGTGCTTATAATTAATTTTTGAATTTATAAAGAAATCTTTTAAAACTGATTCTTCTTTAGCTTATTTTGCTGTTGTTCCATAATCTTTGTTTTTGGTATTTCAGTTTGCAAAACTCCACAGCATAGAAATATCCATGGCTTGACTGTAAGTAAAAAAAACTTTTTTGAAAATGTTCAATATTTTTTCTTCTTTTTAAATAAATAAATATTGTATATTTTTTAAAGTTTCTATATAGACTGCCACATACATATTCTTGATATACAGTTGGGGGGAACAAATATTTGTGCACATGCAAATTTTTAATTTATTGTATTTCCAACTAATGAGTAAAGATACTTTTCATATAATTAACAGATGTATAACTAAATATGCATAGAAAACAGAAAAAAAAACATGATTTGATATAAATAAATCCCATTTATCAATTTTAATAGGTGAAAAAAGTATTTGTACAATACAAAAAAGAATACATAATCTTCATTTAATACTTTGTAGAATAGCCATTATTCACTTCTACAGCAACAACCTCTTCTTGTAGTTCTGGATGATTTGTAAATTTTAGTTGGTATTTTGTTCCATTCTTCTTCACGTGTTCTTCAGATCCGGGATGTTTGTTGGAGCTCTCAATTGGATTTGAATTTTCAAATAACACTACAGATTCTTGATTGGGTTTAAATCTGGGCACTGACTTGGCCATTTCAGGATATTTACATTATTTTCAGCAAGCCATTTCATTGTAGATTTTGCAGTGTGCTTAGGATCATTATTTCAAATTTCAGAGCTGTTATTCATTACACCACTTGCATATCTAAGCTTACAGCACCTGGTATTCCCAAGAGGTCACCCATCTAGGTACTGACCAGGCTCAATGTTGCACTTAACTTCAGTCATTGTAAGAAACAGTGTTTCAGTATCTGGCCTTAAACTGAGTGCAAAAGAATATGAGAAAAAGAAAAACATTATTAAGAAAGAACAATAAAAGAACAGGAATTAAGAAGATGGAAAATAATAAATGACATTGCATTTAAATTTTTGAAGATCAAAGTTGACTGGAAAGCAAGAGGCCGGACGAGAGTTCTACAAGCGAGAATGGTGAGAGAAGAAATTGTTAGCATAGAACTTACAGTTACATCTAGCCATTTTAGCAGCAAAATGGCGAGACCTTAATGCTAATCTGGTACTGTACTTAAATTTTTAAAGTCTAGATACCAAAGAGATAAGCTCATCAGAACAATTACCATGAAAGTATTTATAGAAAAGGCACAGGGAAGCTATGTCACAGCAGTGATAAAGTAACTGAAGTTGGGATGTATGGTCAAAACTGATAACATTTGCAGATTCTTCTTTGGAATCTGTAAATACATATCTATCTCCTTGGTGTACACTGCTCGTGGAGCAGCCATGTTTACACTGTAACAGCAGCAAGAAAACTGACCCAATTAAGCTCAAACTTCTATCATGTGACCACAATAGTACCAACAATAAGCACGTACGAGCAGAAGGCAGTGTGACAAACATAAAGATATGTTATGGCGAAAGTGTGGATAATTTTTGACTTATCCTCATAATTTGTTCAGTTATTAGATAATTGTTCAGGTATAAGATTTTTTTTTTTTTTAATTTTAACTCCTGAAGGGTGGGTATAATTATGTGAAACTTAGAGTAGAGACAAGTAAACATTTAATTTTATTTATTTGTTATATCTATTCGAGATATTGAATACAATAATTATAAAGACTGCTTTCCTAAAAATTGTTCTTCCAAAAATAGCCTGGTCAATAGTTTTTTTTGTTTTTTTTGAAATACAATTATTGTTATTGTTTTATGATCAATAATCTTTGAGTTGCATAATGAAATCTCACATCATCAAATAAGCTATTGTGTTTCTAATAAAAACATATTATAAACTTACACAGTATATCAATTTATCAAGTTTAAATTTAATTACCAAATTATTTTAAAGAAGAAACTCAAAGTTGTGTAAGGAAGAGTTTTCCAGTTTTACTTTTCTGTTTTTTTTTTTTTTTAATTAATGATTCAAAATCTCCCTCCTTTTGTTGCTTATCTTTTCTTTCCTATTTTTTTTTTTATTTTTAGATCAACACCCGACAACTGTCAAATTCATTGAATAGGTTTATACCAATGCAGAAAAAGAAAAGGTAACACTGGTTCTGTAATTACAAATAAAATGATAACATGTACTCAGTAAAACTAATGATGAAACATGTAGAAATAATAGTTTTAATCCTCTGCTCTCAAAATCTACTTTCCCCAATAGTCATCAAGAATTAAAGTTATTAGACTTGGCTTGCATCTGAGATAGGTGCATATTTCCCAAGCTACCATACTTTAGCATTTTGAATGTTAATTTACAAGGCAGGCCAGCCATTTCTACTTGGAAAATTGGTAAACACAAACTTTCTACTCTGTTTTCCCCTTGCAATTATAGTAAGACAACTTTCAAATACACATTTTACAATAGATTACATTTTGAATGCATTGTACTTTTTACAGACTATTTGATATTAAGTATTCCTTCTGTATGCTGGGCAATGAAAAAAAAAAACAGAATACAAGGATTGTCATTGGTCAAGAATTAATGCATGTGTTACTATCAGAATGTGTAACTTCTATAAGATTGTTTGATTTATTTTTTTATGGCTTATCAACCTTTTGAAGGTTATTTAAAGCCAGAAAATATTTTTAGATTGTAAGAATTTTTGCAGGATAATAATCTCATGGCAAACGTGGACCACATACCAGCAAAAAATGGAGTGTCAAAAGGACAGTTTTCCATTAACACTGTTATTATTTTTAACTACCTTCACTCTTCAGCAATGTTTATTGTTTTAAAAAGCAATGATTAGAATTGTAAAAAAGCTTAAACATATGATGAAAGTGAATTTATAATTTTTTTTGTTCTTGTGAATTTATAACAAACATATTAAACACTATTTTATTAGATTGTTTGTTTGCATGGATAATTTTATATTTACAACATTCTAAAAATTTAATACAATTAAAACTGATGAAAGAAGGAAATATGAAAACAATTTTTTATTCATAAATTTATAAACATTTATTAAATTATCAAAATATGTGAAACAACTATGAGGAAACCTTTATTATTTACCATTTATAAAGTTGAAATCGATTGGCAATTAGCCAATGTTTTGCCAACCCTTCCAGTAAACAATCTAATAAATAAATAGTGTTTATTATTTTTCTTGTCAATTCTCAAGAACAAAGAAAATGTATAAATTCACTTTCATACCTGTAGGTTTTATTAAAATTCTAGTCATCGTTTTTTTTTTTTTTAAAAAAACAATAAACATTGCTAGGAGTAAAGCTAGTTAAAATAATTTTGACACTCTCTTTTCTTTTTTTTCTTTGTGGGTCCGAGTTTGCTGAGATTATTATTTTGTTATATTATAATTTATTCTATATTGTGTTAATTTCGGCATATAATATCATTGTAAGAATTTTTTGAAGATAATGGTTTTTATTGATACGAGTTCTACTAATTAACCCATAGTGAGAGGGAGAAGTGATGTATTCATATTTGCAGGTAAGTGAATATCCTGAAACCAACTGGAATTGGAACTTGGGTCTCTGATTTCCAATTCCAAGCCATTATCTATTACACCAGCTGCACATCAAAGCTTACAGCACCTGGTATTCCCAAGCAGTCACTCATCTAGGTACTGACCAGTCTCAACATTGCTTAACTTTAGTGATAATATGAGAACTGGTGTTTCAACATGATAGACCATAAACCAATTTCTATACAAAAACTTTCTTAGTTGTAAGGATGATTAAGAGAATATAATCATTTGCTTATCACTTCTTTCTTGAACTGCATTGCTAATTAATAATAACTGAGGTATTAACTGTCATATAACAGTGTTACACTTTCAGGAATATACTTTTGCCATAGTGGTAATAAACTGATTAAAGTGTGACATTATATCATTTGGGAGAATTGATTTATATTTGAAATAATTGCCTTTATTTATATTTGTCTTTTTCAAATAAGATCAGCACAAACTGAGAATATCAAAGACATCCTGGCATGTGGCAACATTGCTGCTGAAGATCTGCAGACAATTGAAGTCATTGGCTCTGGAAACAGCGGCAAAGTGAACAGGTAAGAGACAAGCATCATCCTCACATCATATCATCTAACATTTACATTATCTTTGGCATGTGATCACTTCTATTATCTTTGGCATGTGACCACTTACATTGTTTTATACTCTTTCCTCGTTATGAATATCATATATTTGACAACATATCTTACTCACAGTTGTGGTCATAGTTGTGGATTCTAAAAGTATGTCAGTTTTATATATGATCAAATAAAAGCAAAGCATGTCATCCGGTCACGTGATTTAAGTATACATCAGGATTATGTGGTTTTTAACCATGAAAACATATATACTGTAACAGTAAAAACAGATATAGTAAAACAAAGAGCAAGAGAAAAGATAATTACCATAAAGAGGTAAATCAAAAAGAGTAAAAAGAAGAAAACCAAAACAGTTATCATTCCGAACTCTTATTTTTTATTTTTTCATAATCTTCATTTTAATGTCTTTTTCTATTGTAATAATATACCGTAAGCAAATCAAAAGAGAAAATCATAGAAACCTGGTGATAAAACCTTCCCGTGCTTCCATCGTAGTTTGACAAAATCTGTTTTTTGACTGAAAAAGAAACCTCATCCCTTATTCAACCTCTCATTCTTTCTTTATGAAGTGTGAATGAGAACTCTTTAGTAGAACAATCTTTTTCTTTAAATACTTACCATTAAGAAGATCAATGGCCATGTCAAGAACTATTTCTATATCATTATAACTGATTCTGTGACTGACTCTTTTATAATCCATCAAGCATTAAGCCCATTAACACAAAACTGTAGTATTCAGTTGTCAATTGAGAACTACTACTATGTCATATCTATTCAGTACATAGGCAATCATGGCTTTCCTCATCTTCCTCTTTTTAATATCTATAAATTGACATGTTTTTTGAAAATACAGTGGAGGGATTTCCTGTTGCCTTATCCAGGGTTTTGAATTATGAATAGTCCCTCTCCTAAACTGGCTGCCAAACAAGGTTCAAGATCCCAGTCCATCCCTCCTCCCTCCCTCCTTCCTTTTTTTTTTTTTTTTTTTTTTCTGAAAATCATTTGTCCTACTGTTTAACTATTTTTAGCTGGTGTTGGATGAGAAGAGACAGATCCATGCTTTTCCCAAGGTTGTTAGTGTGAAATAAACAGTCAGGATTTGAATCTATTGCACCAATTCCATTTCCTGTGCCAAAAACTGTTACGCTACCCACACATCTTTGCACCTCTGCATTTGTATTTTTAGCCATTTTTGTCTCACAAAACACTGATATGTATGCAGAAACTTTTTTATGCTTATTTATACAATTATCTGTTTTATAAATCATATAATAATGGTTGTCTGCTCGATTCCGAGTATGCTAATCCCTGTTGCAGACGCTTGCTCAGGTACATTTGTATTTCTTTAATACTCACAGAACCAACCCATGATTTATACTGCAACTATAAAATGAGCAGTTACAGTTTCTGGAAGAGAATGTAAAATTTGTCATGATCATTAGTTGAACAAGGCTAGTACACTGAAAAACTTATTACTTCATGCTTGCACAGCTATATATATTTTAAACACTACTGCAACTGCCACTTTTATTGCAATTATTTATGTTTGGCACATGACAACAATTATGGTGTAAAAGTGAAGATCAAACTTCCTGATCTGTAGTAATGTTCTGCAAATTTCACTCTTAGTAGTCAGAAATCATACACTATGTACATTTGCATATTATTTTGTTGGCACATAAATTGTTCATAGTTTGTAACTTCTCTGGAAAAAACATGAATCTTTGCTTTCTCTCTCCATGACATTCGGCAGCATTCTGCATAAAAAAAAGACAAATACATTGCACATTATTACTTTTAATAAAATCTGAATGTTTTAACTGGTGATGGAAAATATAATACCAAATTCCAAATGTGCATTGGAATAGCAAAAGATGTTTTCCAAAAGCTAAACAAAGTATTAAGAAACAGGAAAATTTTGTCAGTGTTATATACGAATAAAGTGTTGTTGCCAACACTTGAGTTTGAACATAGATCACCAGAGAGTAAACACAGGCGACCCCATTATTGAATTAAGTGGATCAATTGATCATAGAGAAACGCATAAGTAGAAAGTCGCGTGACATCTAATTGATCGTTATTTTTAGTCTATCTTCTATTCAGATCACTATTTCTACTTTATCCTCTATTACTATACAGACCAGACCACCATTCTATACTCTAGTCATTATAATATTTCTCTATATGGATTACTATTCGAGCGAGTATTATCAAGCAAGTACTATAAGTGCAAGTGATATTCGAAGGCGTCTGACACCAACATTGTTCAATGGTGTACTATAGTGGTATCTGCGATTACAAAGTCTCTACTACAACGAGCATTACGAAAGTGACAAAGGAAAGAGAGCTGAACTACTATGTAATATTCTTCCTCCTATATGGCAGTAAATATTCGACAATATCCTCACAGATGAAGAGGAGACTTGAGGCAACAAAAATGCAGTTCTACAGAAGTATGTTGAGGATCTATAGACCGAACATGTTAAAAATGAGGAAACTTTAAGAAAAATGGAAACAAAGAGGACATTTGTGCTTTGAATCAGAAAGAGATAGTTGAAATTTTTTGGGACATGTAATGAGGAAAGAGGGCTTGGAGAATTTGACACTCACATAGCATATTGACAGCAAGAGGAAAACAGCAAGTAACTTACCTAACAGGTAAATGGATATCAGATCAGAGAATGGGAAGGATAGTAAAAAAAGCAAATATTGCTAAGAGCTAAAAAAAGATAGGAAGTTGTGGAGAGCCACTATCCCCCACGTTCTGAATGAATATTTAATGAGGAAAGATGGAGAATTTGGCACTCATTGGACATATTGAAAGCAAGAGGGAAAACACCAAGTAACCTATCTAACAAGCTTGTGCAAATGGATGGAAGAAAAGGGATCGGGAAAGGATAATAAAAAGACAAACATTACTTAACACTACAAACAATAGGAAATTGTGGAGAGCCATGATCACCCTTGTCCTGAAGGGACATGGCCTATAAAAGAAGTTACTTAATAATATTTAAATTGTTTTGATTCCTTTTGTATATGAACTGACATCTTTATTGATACAATATTGATTTCTGTAGATCGCTTCATGGGCCAACTCAGAAAATAATGGCTGTAAAAGTAAGTATTTTTTTTTTTTTGTCTGAATTCCTGAGAATAAGAGTTGTTACTATTATACACTGATTCTTTCAAACCATTTTTCTTGTTTTTGTTGTATTTATTATAACAGTTCAGCTGTTGTACTATCCTGCATCTTTTAGGTGTATCCCATTTGGTAACCCTCCAACAATATCACACAGAAAATTGAAGCAGATTATTTTAATTCCTATACTTGAAAATTTCTAGAAATGATGCCCAAATGTGACCGATGTACGAAATGGAAATCACATATGGTAATGGTAGCCATTTCCTTATAAGGAAACATTCAGCATTTATTGACAGAGTAACCATTACTACTATCAAATTCAGAAAATCTTTCTCTTAAAACAGTTTTCAGGAAAATAGTTTCCTCAAAGTCCAATAGCTGTTATTGCTTTTTGCAGTATTCATAGGGGTTTCTTTCCTAACCTTTTATTTGAAGTAGTATGGAATGTCAACATCTTAATTAGGTCATTATTTTCTGTTCAAGTTACATGTGATATCCATTTTAAGTTTTGCTGCTGTTATGTCCTCAAGTGATGCTATTTCTAGTATTTGCTACAGTTCTTTGTTTTGTGATTCTGTAGCGCCAGTCCACAAGTTTCAAAGAAGGATGGTTTTTGTCAAGACCCACAGGCTTCATTCAATCAAAGCCATTTTTTTAACCATTGATCGTAGAAAGCACTTTTATACAGCTGACAGTTTAGGTATTTCTGAATGGGTTTGGTACCATTTAAGAACATGATTTGAGTTTTCAGGTTAATGTTAGCCTTAGCCTGTCTATGGGATCTAGATGTGAAAAGCATATCAACACTTCAAAATTTCTGCAGCCCTCTGCTGACTTTGTGCCATTTTGATCTTGTATCCAAAACTTAAGCAAAGGTAATCAGCCACTGTTAGAATACCATGTCCACAAGGTAGTCTGACCAAATGCTAGCCATCCTAGCCTAGCCTCTGCAACCTGTAACACAAGTGCTTAGTATTTACTAATTCAACATCCTGAATTTTTATGATGGATTCAGGGTATTTGCTTTCATTTCCACCAGATAATTGTTTCTGTTTTGGAAAGATTTATTTTAAGTCCTATTTCTTGGAAACTTGGTAGGGGATATTGATTTTCTGTTCAAAATTATTCTCATCCTAACTATGAATACGTATGTTATCAGCAGTGGGGCAAATAAAAACTCTGTTTAATATTTACAAAGATTACTAGAACACACCTATAGAAAGCTGAAAGGTACATCTGCCAAAACAATTTTTTTTATAAATCTTAAGATGTTTTTTTTTAAATATTTAATTTCTAAGAATGGTCTGCCTACTTATCTTTTTAATTCTATTATTTATCATTTTAAATGTTAATGTAAAACTGATTATATAAGTAGAACCACTCAGCAATTGGATAAAAAAAAATGAATCAACATGTGTCAACTTGTATATGTCAGTGTCAGTTTTATAATTTGCATAGGTGCATGAATACATCTCGGCCCGCAATAGCAAAGCATCAAATAAATAATTATCAGTGTGCTATGTCCTACCTTTTATCTTTTCAGTTTTAAGCCAGTCACATTCAGGCTTTCATTTGAAAGCTTTAGAGATTATATTCATTAAATCTTTACAGACTTCTCTTTGTAACAGCTTTCTCTTTGGCTGTTAGGTCTTAATGTAATCTGTCTATGACATACATATATATATATATATGTGTGTGTGATTTTTAAATCATTTCACCCCAAAACAAGGTGATAATGCCGCTAGGATGCAATAAGACATGAAGAGAAAAGACAATAAAAGAATGATTCGGGAAGACAGAAAATTCAATTTGCATTGTTTTTAAATCTTTGAAGATTGTAGGTAGCAGAGAAGCAAGAAATTGGAAGGGATTTCCACAGGCTAGAAGTGCGAGAAAAGAAACTATTAAAATAGAACGTAGCTAGTTCAACAGTAAAACGGTGAAAGCTATCTACCAATCTAGTAGCACATTTAAATTCATGTAGTCAAGGCACCAAGAATGAAAGTTCATCTGAACAACTGCCATTAAAATATTGGTAGAAAAGACAGAGAGAAGCCATATCACATCGGTGAGAAAGTAACTGAAGTTGAGATGCCAGGTCAGGATCGATTACATTACAGACCCTTCTTTGAATTTTGTTAAGAATCTCAAGATGTATAGTAGGAGCACCAGAACAGATATGGCAGCAATATACAATGCATGGACAAATGGTACATTTATAAATGTGCAAGATGAATTCTGATGAGAAACATTGTCTGGCATGGCACAGTGGACCAATTTTCCTAGCAGTAGATCTAGCAATTGATTCAATAGAATCACCCCACTTCATGTCTGTGGAAAATGTGAGCCTAAGAAGGTGCAAAAAGTTGCACTCCAGAAGGTTATCATCAGCCATGCTGATGACAGGCAGAAAAAGTTCTCTATAGTGATTAAATGAAAGCAGTTTTTTTATAGAGGCATTTTATTTTAATCACCCTCTTTTTTTTCTATTTACCATTCATGGTAATTATATCATACTTTCTTTCTTTCGTCCTTTTTTTTTTCTTCCATCTGACTTTGTTCCTTTCTTTCTTTTTCATCTTACTTTGAAAAAATAAATATGAAATTGAATTATTACTTCATATACACAGAGGTGCCGAAAAATTTGAGGCCTAACTCTGTTCCTATTATCTGACCAAATATCAGAACTTTGTTTTTTAAATCTTGTTTTGGCTTAGCCAAGTACTTTTCAGCAGCCCTCTGTTTCAGATTATCCAGTGATGTAACATTCAAATATGTGTATGTCACTTTTTCTATGTTTTCCAATAACTCGTACATATGCACTTATAAAAAATCTTTTTTTGTTTTTATAAAGAATGAGAAAATTACTCCTTTTATCACCTTTTAATTTGAATTTCCCAAAAGGTTGTGCAGCTTGATGTTAGCCAAGAGATACAATATGGAATCATTTCAGAATTGGAAATTCTGTGCAAGGTACAGTTTATTTTCAATTATTTTGGTGAAGAAAAAAAAATGTCTTCTCATTGTTGAATGTAAAATTATTAATAAATCAAAGGGAATTTCTAGAAATCTAATCTGGAATTGACTGTATGCTTATTACTTTTCTTATTGCATTTAATGTAAATTCTAATATCACTTCAATTTTTTCCCCTTTTTCAAGTGTATTCATTTTATTAGGAAGGTTTGAAGAAATGCCTTCAAGTGAACTTTAGCAGGATCTCTAATTTATACCATAATCCCTTGCATTTCTCCAGTCACTCCCAGTGCTTTGAACATCTACTCAGTCTCCAGACTTCAAATAGAACTCCTACATACAATCCTTGCTAAAAATGCTTGAAAAACAGTCAACTTATTTTATTACTCTAGGAAGTATATGACTCCTTCTGCCCTGCTTTATTTTTACAAGAGCCAGATTCTCCCTCTTTCAGTTTTTCTGTGCCATATTATTTCTGTCTGTCAGATACATTGCCTAGTGGATTAAAACATTGGTTTGTGAATTTGGTGACAATAATAATTGTGATTATTTTCACTATTTACATTTGGACTATTGTCCTCATCTTTCTTGTTATCACATTTTGGCTGTTGTGTCCTCCGACCTTCATCAGGTGTATATCAATTCAGGTAACCTACAGAGAATTCTGAACTGAACCCTTTATTTAATCTACAGTGGCAGACTGTTCTTGTTCCACTGTCCATGTCCTAGGATATCTTGAGCAATAACTAAGCAGTACTAAAAATAAGACCTAGACAAGATATTCCTAGATATGATCAGTGGAGTGAGAACAGTCTACCACTGTAGATTAAATAAAGGGTTCAGTTCAGAATTCCCTGTTGGTTACCCAGATTGATATACACCTGATGAAGGTCAAATGGCACAATGGTCAAAATGTTTTGATAGCAGCAATAATGATGAAGACAATAGTGTGAATATAAATAATGATAACTCCTCACCCCCAGAAATTCAGACAGAAATAGTAATTATGAGTTCAGTCCCTAGGCTGAGTAATGCAGATTTAGATTCAATAGAAACAGGGCAATAACTTAGAAGTACTTAAAAAAGACAAGTTATCCCTAGACATAGACAACAAAATGTCGTTTAAATAAAGAGTTCATTTCAAAAAGTCTTTTAGGATTACCTGGATCAATAAACACCTGAAAAAGGCTGGAGAGTACAATGATTGAAACATTGTTGGTAATAATAAAGATGAAAACATCAGTCTACATGTAAATAACTTCAAATTTATGTTTTATGAACCATGTTATTGTGCAGTTTATAAACTATTAACAGAATAAAATGAAAAGGAAATTAAATTTGTTCGAACCAACTGACAATAATTATCAGAGCTAAATACTATATTTCTTACTATGTAAGGTGTACATGAAAAAAAAGATAGACTTTTACAATATGCACTGCAATCGGAAATAAGCATTTTTTATAATTTTTTTTCTTATGTTACTATAGATTAAGCAATCCAAACCACAAAAATCTGCCCCCCAACCAATTTATTTTATTAAATATTATAACGGGTGGGGTCCAGTTTACTATGTAAATTAATTATAAATTGATTCCCCTAAGGCAAAAGATGCTAGTTTCATATGAAAAATTCATAACCTGGAGTGATTTTTTTATTATTATTTCAGGCTACCATCCTTATTGTATAACTCTGTTGAAAAAAAGTCTCCCAAAAAACCCCTACTTCTTATATCCTGATATTTAAGCTACCATTATTAGACAAACACCTAAACATTGCCATTTGATTCGCTAGTCTCCTAATAAGACTAGAATTAAATATAACACCACTGACACATTTCTTAGGACCAATGCCTGTTGGTGTTGACAACATCCTGTATAATCACTCTCCAGTGCAAATATCCATAGTTTTTTAACTCTATCTGATTCTTGTTTTTACAGACATAGTATTTGCACTCCATCTCTGACCATCTTTAACCAGCTTCAGATAGCTAAGTGTTTAAATTCAGAGTTTTCTTCTCCTAGACTGAAGAGCCAAACAAGGCTGAAGAACCTAGTCTGCCCTGCTATTTAATACATAGCTGGGAGAGAGAAGAGATGGATTCAAACCTTTCCTAAGGGTATTTGAGTGAAAGTCAATGTAATAAACTTTACAGGAATTCAAACTGAGCTTGATTATTTCTTATTCCAAGCTGCTAATCTTTACACTACCTCCAGATCCTAAAATATATCCAATTATGAAATAAAATAAATGAAATATATCTTATTATGAATGAAAATAAATGAAATGTATCCATTTCTGAATGAAAATAAATGAAATGTATCCATTTGTGAATGAAAATAAATGAAATATATCCATTGGTGAATTAAAACAAATGAAATGTATCCATTGGTGAATTAAAACAAATGAAATGTATCCAATTGTGAATGAAAATAAATGAAATATATCCAATTATAAATTAGAATAAATGAATTATTTTTGATTATAAATGAAAGTATATTAAATATATGCCATTATAAATGAAAATAAATGCAATATATCTAATTATAAATGAAAATAAGTGAAATATACATGATTATAAATAATTTAAAACTCACAATGTTAAAATATAAGTATGGATTAATCATGAGTTGAATCTTAGTTTTCCCCCCCCTCAATATTTCTTGCCAAATTATTGGTTCATGTTTTTATGCTGATGCATGTTATACATCAGGAAATATGACAATTTCATTTGTTTTTCAGTGTCATTCACCATCTATTATTGGATTCTATGGCGCTTTCTTTGTTGAGAATCGTATATCAATTTGTACTGAATTTATGGATGGTAAGTTGCAGAATTTATTCATTTGTAAAAAAACAAAACTTATGTATTCAATGACTCACATTTCTGAAGAATTCTGAATAACATTTGCTAATCTATAATACACATAGTTTACAAGAGTAATTTATCAAACTTACCCATTGCAATTTATCTAAGCTTCATGGCTGTCTATTTCAAGCTTTGATAGATAGGCACTCTTAGTCCTAATATTAATGCATTTGAGAAACATGATATTTTTAAAGTTTTTGTGTAAGTGGGCATCTTATAGATTCGCAGACACAGTAGTACAATATGAAAAATCTTTCAAAAATTTAAAATGTTGCAACCTTGACTTTTAATCATATAAGTTTTTCTTCAGAATGAATGTTCTTTTTTGCAAGATTTGGGGACCATTTTTGTTTTTTTTAAACTAGAAACCTTTTTATCTTTATTTAAAATTTTTAATTTAATAATACCAACAAAGACGGACATATTAAAATCAAAATTTTAATATTATACTCTGCTTCAAACTAGATCTCTTTCTGATCCACTCTGCATCAAAACCTGTAAGCCAGGTGTAAATATTAAAAAGCGAAAATAAAAAAGTTGTTCTCTGTGCAGGAGCTCTGAACAACACATCCAGCTCACAAAACAAATCACTTAAAAAAAAAATAAAATAAAATAAAAGAAACATTGAACATTGCCGCTAAAGCAAAAGTCATGTCAAAAAACACTGACAGATGATCCACCCTGTCTGCTTTTAGAAACAACATTCATGACACTGTCATCAGTTGCAGGCAAGTGAGCAAGCTGTCAACATCATTACTAGTGACCTCAGTCAACCAACTGGACACACACATCAACTCTAGACCCTACTGACTCTCCCCATCTTCCAGGTTGCTTCCCACACACACAAAGGGATATTCCACCTTGATCCTCTATATTGGCAATACAAAGAGTTTTATCTTGTTTTCTTTTCTATCCACCTCACCAGTGGTACCTTGGTATTTCATTTGTTTTATCATGCAACTATATGCATCTATAACAATATGTCTATTTTTATGGTAGTTTTTAAATTTTGTACCTTGAGTAAAATATTTAAATTTCACAATTGCTATGAATTCAACCAATTTTCTCCATATTTTGTATCATTGTCAAAAGATCATGAGATGTACATGTTCTTTCCAGGTGGATCTTTAGATAAATATTGCCAAATTCCCCAGTCTGTGTTGGGAAAAATTACATGCCAAGTAGTTCAAGGATTGCAGTATTTATGGAGTCTGAAAATACTTCACAGAGGTAAGTTTGTTGTTTTTTTTTTATCTGTCAATATTTTAAATTCAGAAACTGACAGAAAAACTAGTAAGTACCTGACTCCACGTGGTATCCTCTACCTTTTCAAAAGTCAGATCTAGCCTAAAATAGAGTGTAGGTTATCCCACTTGACTTTGCTAAAAAAAACATGTCTAGGGAGCACTCCTTAAGCCTATAAAAAGGTTTGCATTTCTCTCCCTACCCTCTCTTTTACAGCTTTTTAATTCTGGCCTTCAGGTATAGTCATTTGTGGGTAAAGAAACCCCCCACTGGGACATGTTCCTTTTTCATAGTTTTTCTTTCTTGACTTTTGTATTCTCTCATACACAAACAAGCAAGCACGTTCTTATAGCTAGTTTCAATGTATTTTGTTAAAAAATTCTTTTGTTAATACATGCATTGCCATTTGTTTTATATTGTTTTGTGTTACCCATTTTTAACTTGGACTCACATTGAGTCTACCAATATTGTTTGTGGGATAAATTTTCCAGGAACCCATATATATTTACTATCCAAAGTGCTGATTCTCACAGCATAATGGTGACTAAATATTTACCCAAACATACTAACATCCCACAACAGCTGTACTGTTGTCATATTTGGGCAAGATCTGTCCAGTCCTCACTTTCCTGTCTCGATAGTCCAAAAGCATCTCAGTCCTTGGAGGTGACAAATTATTTTCCACTTTCCAACCTCTCTCACAGGTGGGACATGAAAACCTCTCACTGCTTTTTCATTACTTCCATGGAAAGTGCTCAATCAAACTGCATTCCTTGGTTCTGCCAGTTAGAACCTTCACAGCCAGGACCCACCGTGCCACCCACATTGTAGCAAACTACTCTCATTCCCTCTGCATTCCATCAGGGTGAAGTAAGTTCCACTCTAACGACTTCTCGCGAACCACTGCTCTGTGAAACCGACTCTCAAGGGAATGTTTTAATCTTAACCTGTTCAATCCTAGGGTTAACCATTATCTTCCCCTGCCACTTACTGTAACCCTTTACTTCTAGTGGCCCCTTGGTCTTATACAGGGTGAACTTGACTATAAAAAAAAAAAAAATACAAAATCATTACTTTAAAGAGTAAAAAAACAGTGCTGTTAAAATATAAAAGTATAAAAAGAAAATTCTCTTCTAATACAGTTATCAGTTCTAAGTTCTTACTTAGACTTATAATTTGATAATATTGACACTTCAATGTTGTGGACGACTGATGTCCTTCTGAAACTTACATTACCTACTGTCAATATGTGTATATATATATATATATATATATATATATATATATATATATATATATATATATATATATATATATAGGGGATAAAATTGTCTAAATTGTGCACACACACACAAAAAAAAAAAAAAAAAAGAAAAATAATAACACTGACATTTTATTTTAACAGATATATTTGCCAAAACTACACAAAAATATCTTGAAATACTAAAGAGTAAATTTATTCAATAAAAATGCCACTGGCTTCAACCAAAGCCTCCAGACGACTTCGGAATCTCCTGCATCTGTTCTGGATAGTCTCCTTGTTTAAGTTGGTGAATGCTGCCATAATCTTTGCCTTCAGTTCATCTTTGGTGTTACAAGGAGTTTTTTTGATCTCTTGCTCAAATGTGCCCCACACATAATAATCAAGGGGGTTGCGATCTGGGGAATAAAGTGTGATATGGTCGCAGAAATTATCTGGCAGCCATGACTGGGTTCTTCTGCTTGTGTGGTATGGAGTAGTCTTGTTACCAGACATAGGGTCTTCCAGCAGCCACCTTTTTGACTCAGGGCAGCATTACCTTTTCCAGGCACTTGATGTAGGCCTCTGTGTTGAGTCTGAGGCACTCACTAACAAATTCAAGAGTTCTTATCAGAACAATCAGAGTGAGTTTTCTGAGCTGCTCTACCTTCATAATCATCATTAGACTCATCTAACTCTTTCTGAATCCTCCGCATTATCCTCAGATTGACACCCAAACACTCTGAAATGTCCTTATTGGAGCTTTAGGCACAAATACCAAGTAGTACAGCATCCTGTTTCCAAATTTCTGGCGGCGTGAATTTCATCATGGTGGTCTTTTTCTCATAGACAATGCACAGCTGATCATACTGTACTGTGCAGTCAACAAAAACAAACAATGCACATTCTCAAAATTAAAAAACATAAAATGGCAATAATTTACACCCTCTGTGTGCGTGTGTGTGTGTGTGTGTTAATGCAACATTACTTCTCATTACTAGTAACATTATTTTTGGTGGGTACACATGGTTGCGTTGCTATCCTTGTTTTTTATTTTCTTAAACAATAAAATTAATATCAATTGGCCGAGCTTGAGAAGTGCTGCTAAAAAGAAAATGTGCCTCATGAATGCCAAATTAGTAATGGCATGCTTCGGCTATAGCAGTGGTTTCTCTGGTGGGAAAAGGGGCTATAGGTTCAATTCCTATCAAGAGCCACTTTTTTTTTAGTATGATTTCTCAATCGAGGCCAATTTAATTTCAGTGTTTAAGAAAATAAAAACTGGGATATCAGTTCAGACACATGTACAAACTGAAAAAAACATTTATAGTAATATCTATTGATTTTATCAATCTATTTCTTTTATTAATCTATTGATCCTATGTTATCTCTCGTATCCTGTCGTATCCTATGTCATCTCTCGTATCCTATCTTATCATCATCTTGGATTAATTCTTTTAATCAGAAGTCTTGAGTGTACAAGACATGATTTAACTAAAAGTATATATGATCTATCAGCAGGTGATTATGTTAGACAACATTTTAACTTTATCTTTTCTTGATTTTATGCACAGTTTTTATTTAAGGTGTAAGACAATTGCAGTTTTATTTTTATTTTTTAATGCCATATCCTTTCAGGTCATGGGCAATCATGTTCCTTGACGGCTTCCTTTTCCTTAATAACTGTTAATTACTATGATTTTTGAGAAAGATAGTGAATTAGTTTCCCATTGCTTTCACCAGTTTTGAATTCAGAATTATCTTTCTCATAGACTGGCTGCCACCCAAGACTAGAGACCTTGGTTGATTCTTGTTATTTATTTTATTTTTTATTTTTTTTTAGACATTGTCCCTCTTCTCCTTGAAATAAATAAAGAATTAAAAAAAAAGCCATTTTCTCATTAAAATTTAAATGTGTGGAAATATTTTAGAACAAATACATCTTTAATGTTTCAACTGTTAATATGCTTTTTGGGTTTTTTTTTTTTTTTTTTTTTTTTTTTACAGATGTGAAACCCTCAAATATTTTAGTCAACACAGAAGGTGAGGTGAAACTATGTGATTTTGGGGTCAGCATCCAGGTAAGCTGATTTACCACAAGTAGGAAATACTTCTTCCTTTTTTTTTTTTTTTTTCCAGTTAAGAAACAAATTTGGTTATAAATTTAGTGTGTTTCCTGCATGCTAAGACGCAACTAGTGGTAAGATGCACACCACAATTAGCTAGGTATTTTTTTGAAAAAAAAATATTTGAGGATTTAATATCTTACCATAGTAGCAAATCCAAGTTTCTGACTACTGTGTCATTTTTCATTCTGTCACAACAAATCACATTTTCAGCCAATTATTAAATATTTGTCATTATTATTAATTAGATTTTGAATAGTTTATCACAATGTTATACCTATTCACATCAGAAACAACTCGTACTAGCCAGTTGATGTTTCAGGGTTGTGTTGAAGAGCACAATGTGTTGCTTTTGCATTGTCACTACCACAGTTCGCTATTACATTCTGGGATTGGGGTTTGTGAAGATACCATACAGTATGTCTTACAGTACCAGTAGGAATCTGGCTACTGATTATCATGAATACACAAAAAAAAACAATATATATGGTATTATACCAATGAGAAATATGGTATTTATTATATATAAATGATAATTGTAAGCTTATGTCTGAGGTTTGTGATTGCTTGTGTATTAGGACTGGGGTTTGTCGGGGTTGGCAAAGACCTCTCTACAACTTGACCTTTCAGTGCTAAGATACAGGGTTATTGTTGGGTGGGGAATTTTCCAAGAAAAATTGTGCATCTTAGCATACAGGAAATACAGTACTTCAAATAATTTGATAATATACAGTAGGTTTATAATTAGGTTTATGACTAAATTATCCCAAAAGCAATGGCCCTCATCAAAGTTAGGTAACATCAAATCTGGTCAGTACTTAAGCATGGGATAGTTTTCAGCACCAGGTGCTGTCAGTAATGGGGATTAAATCCCCTCCACAAAAAATCCCACCATTGTTTTGGATCACATCTTAAAGAGAAATGTTACTGTCAAATGACAAGGAGATACAGTCTCTAAAAATGAGACAATGCAACCTCTTGTGATCTGCTAATTGTGCTAAATTCACTTGGACTGCAACTGAATAACATTACGATTACTGAATCTAACCAGTTAACATAATGTTTAAGGCTAATTCAATAATGAGGAAGTGGGTTTATTAACTTATTTCTAGTCGACACTTCAAGTGTGTTTAAATTTATTAGAGGAAGTATTGTCACTTATTATTAACTTGTAACTATCTTTTCTTTCATATTATTTCTGTTGCTTTTTATTGTAACTCTTGGACAATGTTGATTAGCAAGAAGCATGGATCAAAAGTACAAAATAAATTTCCAAGCAAGATTCAAACTTGCATCTCCTTGCTTCAGGAATCTGCCTGTCCAATTTAATGAGAGTTTTTATTATTTTGCAATTTTATCTTTGACAAGTTTATTGTTTAAATCTTGTCCTTATATTTATGTTAGGAAATCCAATTTAAAACTATAAAAAATGTTGAAGAAATGAAAATATTGCACAATGAACAAAGTTTTGGTGAAAATAACTAAAACTTCTTAGGAAATTGCACAAACGCATAAATATATTTAACCCTTTCACTGCATAATTAAATTTCATGGTCATTCCCATAATGATGTTAATTATCTACAAAAAGATATTTTTTTAAATCAAATTCTCAAAGCATAAGGAGAGGTTTTTTCAAAGCTGTAGGGTAAATCTACTTTCTGCTGTTGTAATAAAATTTTGATTGGATATATCTGCTTTCCTTTGAGAAAGGATTAAATGTATATAGATATACTGTGAAGATTGAGTAAAAACATTGTTCCCTATATAGCATTTTTGCTTGTATAACTATAAAAAATGCTTGTCAATACTGCAATAAAAATTTTGGCTTATCTAACAAGACTCATATTCACATTTACCAACTTCCTATTCTAACTCTGCTTGCAAATTAGCTAATTAACTAATATACTAATCAATAAATTGTATGCAAAAGTATAAGACTTTTTTAAATACAATGAATTTGAAAATTTTGTTTGCAAGACAAAATTTAATAATGGCCTATAACACAAACATTTAAAATATGTAGTTAAACCAAGAGAAAAAAGAAGACTGACATTTATTTGTTTTTAATCATTTCACCCTATGCAAGGCAGTAAAGCCACTAAGACACGAGGGGGTTAATGAGTAAGCGAATTAGAAAATAGGAACATTATTAAGGAGTGAGAATAATAGAAAAGTAATCGGGGGAAAATGGTAGATAACGATTGACATTGCATTTAAATTTTTGAAGATCAAAGTCATCTGGAAAGCATGGAACTGGAAAAGTGTTCCACAAGTGAGAAGTACGAGAAAAGAAACTGTTAGCATGGAACTTACAGTTATATCTAGCCAATTCAACTGTAAATTGAAGAAGACCTTGTTGCTAATCTAGTACTGTGCTTATATTCATAAAGTCAAGGTACCATAGTGAAGAGCTCATCCAAACAATTGCCATGAAAGTATTTATAGAAAAGGCAGAGAGAAGCAACTTTACAGTGATGGGAAAATGACTTGAACTGAGACATTAGATGAAAAACTAGAAAGATTTTTAAAAAAAGTTAGAGTTTACTAGTCATCACTCCTCACTCATCAGAACTCGGTCAAGGCATAAAATAGTAAATATAAATGAAAAGATAATACACTGTTATTAGTAATATATTAAACACTGAATATCTACAAGCAGATCATATTAAATACAATGAATTTGGTCTAAACTTTCTAATCAAAAGTCTTGCAAATATTAAATTAATAAATTATGCTTAAAGGTTATATACTAAAATATTCTTCTAGGTATGTATGCTACCCTCTGTCAAGTTAACAGTTGTTGTAACAACTTTTTATAACTATTGCTGTCTGGGTGGTAGTTATGAGAGAGTAGTTTTCCATGAATTATCTACTCCCTCTCTTCTCTGTCAGCCATCATTGCATGCTAGGATTAAGAAAGTCCTTGTTAACAGCCAGTGTTCCGAGGCCCCCTCAGGATTCACGTCTCAGTTCAACCCTCTTTCTAATTTACATAAATAATCTGCCTAAGAGTGTATCCCAATCATTTGTGAATATCTATGTTGATGATACAACAGTATATGGGTGCACCTCCAAAACACTAGATGACCAGAACTTGGCAGCTGATCTCTCCTCTGACCAAGTTCTAACAGCTCAGGGCAACTTGCTGGTCACATTCAATGCCTCAAAAACCAAACTAGTGACATTTCATCTTCAACAATTGAATCCAGAACTATGCCCAATTACAATGAATGCATGTTCCTTCAGGGAGGCCTCGTGCTTTGAGCGTCTATTGTGACTTAAACTCAATCCAGACCTTATGGAAATCTTGCATACAATCCATTGCTAAAGAGTCTGGAAAACTGGTCAGTTCTCTGTACCACTCTAGTATGTACTTAACACCTGGTGCTAGAGCAGACCGAAAATGAGCAGGAACTGCCCAGTCTTCATCTTCCAGTCTTCAAAACCATCGCCACATACTTGTGGGTGATTATTTTCCACCCTACAATCTCTTCCCTACAGACAAAATGTCACGGACCTCTCACTGCTATATAACCATTTCCATGGAAAGTGTTTGAACGAACTACATTCCTTAGATCCACCAGTTCTTACCTTCACAGCTAAGACCTGCCATGCCACACCCATTGTTGTATTGAACCACTCTCATTCCCTTTGTATTTTTTTTCGTGAGATCTAAGTTCCACTCAAGCAACTTTTCTCCCCCACAAACAGCTGCTCTGTGGACCCGACTCCCAAGAGGATGCTTCCCCAATCACTAAAATCTTAACTTTTTCAAGTCTAAGGTTAACATATCCGCATAAACTATGCCTCTACCCTCTACCTTGAGTTGCTCCTGGGTCTGTAAAAAACATCCAAAGGAATTAAGGGAACATGAGTAGACTCAACCAGTATTTGAACTGAGTTTGAGGATTCCATTTTCCATAAGTGTCTTGGAGGTGAACAGTTGGGAATCCTAGTTGACTATCACTCTTGAGTAATGAGTTTGTTCCTCATTGGGTGCCTCATACAAAAATTCAACATTAAATAACCCAGCAAGGGTTGACATGCCATAAAATCAACCAACCAACAACCATTTTCCATGTCAACAATAATAAAAAGAAACAACTGGCTGCTTGTTTCCAAGTATGCATGTCTCCTAGAGCAGCTAGCTAATACCTGTTGTAGATGTCTACTCTGACACATTTTGTGTTTCTTCAACATTCACAATACCAACTTGTGGTTTATACTGCAACTATACTGAGCAAACTTCAGTTACAGTTTGTAGGAGAGAATACATAATCATATGGTCAGTGGTTGGACAAGGCCAGTACACTTAACCCTTCACTCACAATGACTTGTGACCTTATGCCTCCAAACAGTTTCATCTATCCAATTTCACTCACAAGGGTATGCTAGGTTAATTACTGGAAATAACAAACAACCATTATAATTGTATGCTGATGTCATAAGCCAGCCACAGTGAAGATAAAAATCAATCAATAAAAACCTGGACAACAAAATTGATTTCATAAAAAAAGAAGAAAAAATTATAAATGGAATGTTAACATTTCAAAAGCAAAATGGTTTTGGTTAAAGACTTTTTAAAATATTTTCTTTTTAAAAGGGGAAATGCCAGAACACAAAGACCAACATTCTACATAGGCCGTCTTAGAAGGAAAATCTCAAGTTGAAATGTTGGAATTGTTAAAGAAAATGATCTAAGAGTTAAGGTGAACGTTTCAATGTTATTAACTGCTTTTTCTTTTTTTCTCGTTAAGCTAACTCCTTCTGCTTTCTATCCTTTCTGTTTCTGTTTACTTTTGACTTTTCTCAGACCTGCTTACAAATCAATGCATGCTCAGGATACTTGTTGTGCCTTTAACAGAAGATAACAGCTAGAAAAAAAACCTATAAAAATATACTGAGGTAAAAGCTCTATTTGAAAAACCAAAATGGTGTTTTTTTATTTTTTGAT